TGCCGGAGTGACCTGGAATCCACTGCATCACTATTCTGATGTTGTATGAAGTAATAAGCTGATCAGCATCCAGGATTATCTTGGCTATGTCAGTTCTGCAGTGTTCACTGCCCTCCAGAGCTTGAAGGGCAGACATTGAATCTGTGAAGATGACAATATTTTGGACCTTTGAAGGGTAAACATCCATTACAGTCTTTAGGTGGTATACTGCTGTTTCCAGTGCAATTATTTCGGCTTCATAATTTGAACAGAATTCCCCGCATGCATCAAAAATCTCTTCAACAGATTCAGTAACCAGCTTTAATTGTAGCTTTAAATGCAGATCCATCAGTATAAACATGTATCCATTCTTGGGGGTAAGAATCAATGGTCTTGAGTGATGAGTTCATAAGAGCAATTGGGTCGGACTATTTGGTTTCCTCGCCTACCAATTTAATTCGGACTTCTGGAACTTTAAAGCGAGCATGTGGTGGTAGGTTTCTTGCAACATTCTGAATGCCTTGAGGTCTTTCTGGGAGTTTTCTACAAGGTGTCTATTAGGATGGTTACGATTCTTTCTAAGGCTTCTTTCATAAATTTCTAAAGTGGCTTTTTCTCTCCGCAACCCAAGGATTTCACATGCAGCAGTTGGTGTAGACTGCATAGCTCCTCAGATTAATCGGAGGGCATTATTTTGTACTATGTCAAGAGTTTCTAGGTTAGTTTTGGAGCAGGTTGTAAGCAGTGAGATGTTGTACTCTATCACAGAGCGAACATATCCTAGATATAGGCCCCTCAGAGTTTCCTTGTCCCCCATGATGTACCTGCAAATCTCTTAACTGTAACCGCCTCAATGCCTTATTCCTGACGTTTTCAATATGATTCTTGAGGCTGAGCTGCCGGTCAAGTGTGACTCCAAGGTATGTAGGATGCTCTTCTTTCATCACTTGGTGTTTGTCTAACCTCATGTTAATATTCTTCCTTGCTACTTGATGGCTTTTGGTAAAGACTGTGTAGACCGTCTTTGTACAGTTAACCTTGAGTTTCCATCTTTGGCAGTACTCATGCAGTCTTTTAAGTTCTCTATTTAGTCTTTGGGCTCCACTTTCCACATTTTCATGACTCTGCCATATTGCTAGGTCATCAGCGTACAAGACTTTTTCGGACTTGATTTGTTCTGGCAGGTCATTGATAAAGATTAGAAACAGTGTACAGTTCAATGATGAGCCTTGTCGCCCTCATCCAAGACTTCTTTAGAAGAGATTGCGTTGTGCATCTTAGTCTGGATTGTTCTATCTATCAGAAAGTATTTCACGCAGTTAACAATCTGCCATGTATTCCTATGCTCATCATCTTCATCAGGAGACCTTTTCTCCATACTCTGTCATAGGCCTGCTGGAGGTCGACAAAGACGGCCACTGTGTGTTTCTTATTCTGGAAGCCATCATGTATTCTTTGTGTCAGTCTGAACAGCTGGTCTTCTGTACAGCTATTGGTTCTGAAGCCTGCCTGTTCATGGCATAGAACACCAGAACTCTCTAGGAACCAATATAAGCGCCTGTTTATCATTCTTTCTGCAACTTTGCCCAAGCATGATGTTAAGGATATAGGGCGGTAGCTTTGGGGTCATCTGATACTTTTTGGTTTTAAGAATGGGGATGATGTATGCATTCCTCCATGCCTTTGGAAGTCTGCTTGACCTCCAAGTTTTATTAATAAGCCTGAGAACTACTTCTCTTCCAGACCGGCCAAGATGTAGAAGCATTTCAGTGTGGATCTTATCTGGGCCTGGGGATTTTCTAGGTTTTAATTTCCACAGGGCTTGTTCTAATTCATTCATGCTAAATTCATCTTCAAAAAGGGAGTCGCTGGCTGTTGGAGCTCTCTCTTGTTTCTTCAACTGAGACAGCTGTGTTCTATTGAGTTCTGACAGCTTACCTGCTCTATTAACCGAGGCAAATTAATGATTGAAATGTTCTGCTTTCTTCTTGTCTTCAGTGATTGTCTTACTCCCATCTGTCACTGGTTTTGGGTTCACCCTCCTACTTTTTCCGGAGAGGTTTTTAACTAAAGTCCATGCTTTATTTCCATTCTGTCTAAGGTCTAAGTTGGAGCAAGTTTCTGTCCATTGATCACTTTTAGCCTTATTAACTACAAGCTTCACTCTGGCACATGCTTTATTGTATTGGATTCTGTTGAACGTGCAGTTTCAAGCAATATTCTTGCTTTATTCCTTTCAGATACAGTATTTTGAATTTCTTTATTTCAGAAAGGTTTATATGCCTTCTGGCTGCCCCTTGCAATGGCTTTCAACGCTGCATTCATGATTGCTCCTGTTATATCTTCACAAAACGTTTCCACACAGCTGTTGTCAATTCTTTCCAGGAGGCAGTCAGATGTTTCCTGATGCCGATAGGTCTAGCCCTATATGCCTAAAGGCAATATGACAATACGCCAATGACGATACGGCAATGACAATATATCATTGACAATATGGCAATGACAATATGTCAATGACAATATGGCAATGACAATATGGCGATGACAATATGGCAATGACAATATGGCGATGACAATATGGCGATGACAATATTGCAATGACAATATGGCGATGACAATATGTGTCTAACTGTCATTAGTGACTAGTGAGGACTATCATGACAGTACTCCAGACAGAATCTTTGGTGCTCTTCTTCTTTACTTCTGTGTTCCACATCAGTCATGCTAAACATCGAGTCCCGTCTGGGTCACAAATAGGATTGTGCATTTAAGGTCGCCATCAGTCCCGCATAGCTTCTCTTTCAATGTGGCTCCCAGATCCACAGTCTTTGCTGTGAGAGGTTAGGGCAGTACTGTAGTATGTGCTCAGGGGTCTGTCTTTCTGCTCCACAATCACAGGCAGCAGATTCTTTTATGCCTTTCCTGTGCAGGTGTGCTCGAAGACCACAGTGTCCAGTCGGAAGTCTAAAAATTGATGTTTTTTCTTTCCTGTTGTTTGTTTATGCTGTCACTCTCTGGTCTGTAATCTCCATTCTGCCTTCTCCACTCCAGCTTGAAAGACTGCTTTAGCGCTGTTTTGATTTCCTTGTAGCTGTGTGGTGGATGAGGTTGTGGAAGATTACTCCCAGCTTTTGCCAACTCATCTGCTCTCTCATTTCCTTGAATACCACAGTGGGCTGGTATCCACTGCAAGACCAGTTCTGCTTCCTTGGAAAGTAAGCCAATGTTGATCCTTAGATCTACAATTAGTTTGTCTTGATAGTGCTTGGAGAACAGACAATAAGTCACTAAGTTTAATAATTTTGTGCCCTCTGTGTTCTTGAGTGCTGAAATGTTGGACTTCAGAAAGGAGGGCAGTTGCCTCAACTCTTAATTTAGTGCAGATGTCACCTGCTGGTAATGTAAATTCCACAGCCACTCTTTCTGACTGCATCTGTAGCAGAGCCGTCGGAGTCCAAGTGGTCCTTGGTGCTCTGATCCCCCTCCCTCCCCCCATAGTTTCACAAGGGTGAAATGACTGATTACACTTATTCCATGTTGATTAAACAGATGTTGCTCTGTGTCCTTAGTGAAATGTTCATATCTGGCTGCTGATATTTGTGCAGATAGATCGGCCCTTGGTGGGTGATGTGGCAACATCATGCCGTCCGCCTTCACTTCCCATGACTTTATCTGGTACCTGTTTAAAGCTAGGATAACAAAGGAGGCAAAGTCATGTACGAAAAAATCTGGTTCCATGCAGATTTGAACCCATGACCTTCGGATCCACAAAGCAAGCATCTAGATACACTATGGTGGTTCCCAGAACAATTAAGGGGTGACCCATTTGCTGTGAAGTTGGAACTGCGACCAATTAATCAAGCTTTAAAGTGCCGGTTTACAGAAACACTTCAAAGACAACCAGATAACAAACACTGACACATACCTAGATGCTGACACATACCTAGTTGAGATATATCTAGTTGATGAGACATACCTAGGATGAGACATATCTAGTTGATGAGCCATACCTTTTTGATGAGACATACCTAGGTGATGACACATGCCTAGCTGTTGAGACATTCCTACTAGATGACACATACCTAGTTGATGACACATGGTTAGTTGATGAGACATATCTAGTTGATGACACATGCCTACATGATGACACATGCCTAGTTGATGACACATACCTAGTTGATGACACATACCTAGTTGATGACACATACCTAGTTGATAACACATGCCTAGTTGATGAGACATACCTAGTTGATGAGACATACCTAGTTGATGACACATACCAAGCTGATGACACTAGTTGATGACATATGCCTACTTGATGACACATACCTAGTTGATAACACATGCATACTTGATGACACATGCCTAGTTGATGAGACATACCTAGTTGATGAGACATACCTAGTTGATGAGACATCCCTAGTTGATAACACATGCCTTTTTGATGACACATACCTAGTTGATAACACATGCATACTTGATGACACATGCCTAGTTGATGAGACATACCTAGTTGATGAGACATACCTAGTTGATGAGACATGCCTACTTGATGACACATGCCTACTTGATGACACATGCCTACTTGATGACACATGCCTACTTGATAACACATACCTAGTTGATGACACATGCCTAGCTGATGACACATGCCTACTTGATGACACATACCTAGTTGATGACACATGCCTAGTTGATGACACATGCCTAGTTGATGACACATGCCTAGTTGATGAGACATACCTAGTTGATGACACATGCCTACTTGATGACACATGCCTACTTGAGACATACCTAGTTGATGACACATGCCTACTTGATGACACATGCCTAGTTGATGACACATGCCTACTTGATGACACATGCCTAGTTGATGACACATGCCTAGTTGATGACACATACCTAGTTGATAACACATGCCTACTTGATGACACATACCTAGTTGATAACACATACCTAGTTGATGACACATGCCTAGCTGATGACACATACCTAGTTGTTGACACAACACTGACACATACCTTGTTGAGGCACTGGATGACGTGTGCCATGTCTACCCAGGGTACTCCCCTGTCATCTACCTGGTGAAACAGGTAATCCCTAAACAGTTTCAGCATGAAACGGTCCCCAGTCTCTGCCCAGGACGGCTCCGAGTTGTACCTTACAAAGGAAAGCCAATCACCAATAAACAATTCATTAATTTCTTCTCCTGTGTACCTAATTTTTCAGTCTTAGTTTGGTTTCTTTGTTTTTCATATCTAATATTTCATACCTCAGATTCACTTTCTTTGATTTGTCACATTACCCATCACCATGGGTTTCTTCTCTTACACATCACTTTACTATTCACTTCTTGGTTTATTCTCTTTCACATCACTTTACCCTTCACTCCTTGGTTTCTTCTCTTTCATGTCACTTTACTATTCACTTCTTGGTTTATTCTCTTTCACATCACTTTACCCTTCACTCTTTGGTTTCTTCTCTTTCATGTCACTTTACCCTTCACTTCTTGGTTTATTCTCTTTCACATCACTTTACTCTTCACTTCTTGGTTTATTCTCTTTCACATCACTTTACTCTTCACTACTTTGTTTCTTTTTTTTCATGTCACTTTACACATCACTCCTTGGTTTCTTTTCTTCCATATGTCACTTTATCATTTCCTTCTTGGTTTCCCCTTTCATATATCACTTTACCTCTTGGTTTGTTCTCTTTCATATATCACTTTACCTCTTGGTTTGTTCTCTTTCATATATCACTTTACCTCTTGGTTTGTTCTCTTTCATATGTCACTTTATCCTTTACTCCTTGGTTTTCAACTGTCTCCACATGGTCCTTGAAGGACAGGCTCTCGTCAAATGTGATTCCCAGATACTTCAGTTTGCTCTCTCGACATTTCTACCATCTATTGTGAGACTTAGGACATTAGCTTTAACAATCTTGTTGTCTAGAGAACACCACAAAAGAGCTGGGGAAAAAAGCAGTTTTGACAGTACTGTTGCATGCCCTGTCTGGGACATCCAAGTAGGGTGTTGGTCCATTAATTTTGGAAGGTCTTGCATACTCTTCCAGCCTAAAGCTTACTGGATTTGGAAATCAATAAAAAAGTAACTGAAAGGAAGTCATCATTTACTATATGTTTCTATGTTCTAGATGATTTGTTTTCCTAAATGTTTTAAGTTTAAAATCAGAGGTTGCCTTATAGTTGGACTGTGTTTATAATATTTATTTCCTAACTTTGGGATTTTAAAAAAAAAAGTGGGGGTGGGGGGGGGGGGGGGGGGGGCGCTTTATACACAGAAAATTACAGTAAGTTGTGAAAATAAAAAAAATAAAAAATTTTTTTTGTTTAAAAACAGGGACAAGAAAGAAACAAACAGGATCCTATGTCCATTCACAGACTCCATGGGTCCATCCAGGGAGAACCTCAAAGGTCCACCCACAGAGACAGCCATAGGTCCATGCAGACTGGTATGGGTACATCCACGGAAGATGATTTGAGGCAAGCACCGTGATCTAACATCATCAGTGGTAGCTACAACAACAGCGGTGATACTTACAAGAACAGACACTTACATGACAAAGTCTTACAAGAACAGACACATGACAAAGTCTTACAAGAACAGACACTTACATGACAAAGTCTTACAAGAACAGACACATGCATGACAAAGTCTTACAAGAACAGACACTTACATGACAAAGTCTTACAAGAACAGACACATACATGACAAAGTCTTACTCTGGCCTTTCATTGATACATCCCAGCTTAACCATGATGCGGAACAATCGGCCATTTTCTATTTCCTGCACAGAAAACATGTTTTAAGGCATTCGGTTCAGTCAGAGACGCTCTTGTACAAGATATTATTGTAATCAGAATATATCAATTGTAAGACATTTCGGGTGGGGGGGGGGGGGGGGGGGTGGGGGGGGGGGGGGGGGGGGGAGAATGCCCCTAATGAAGAGCAACAGTTCTGGAATGATGGACTCTCATTCTGAAGAACATGATTCTGGTGTTTTTGACCACCAACATCTTTCACTGAGGAGGAACAAGTTGAGAATGATGCACTCTCATTCAGAAGAACATGATTCAGGTGTTTTTGGCCGCCACCACCTTTCACTGAGGAGGAACAAGTTGAGAATAATGCACTCTCATTCAGAAGAATAAAATTTGGCTACTCTGTTAAGCTATGGATTTGTTTGTTGAGGAAAAAAAATAATACTCGAACCCGAGTTGATGACAAATGCACAAGTCTTGCAACCGTCAATTATTAGGCTTAAGCCTGACTAACAGACGCTGATATCTTTTGTTTGTTGTTGGTTCGGGTGGGTGGGTGTGTGTGCGTGTGCACGCCAGCGTGCATGTATGTGTGTGCGGCCAGTTTTTATTTTTGGTGGTCACACACGTGTCAGAGATTCAACTGGCCAGACAGACATGTGCTTCCTCTGAGAGATACTTTAGTTCAGTTGTAATATGTAATATGTTTTTACCAAAGTTAAGTGATTGTGTATATTCTTGTTTGTATTTGTGGTACTGTATATTCTTGATTGTATTTGTGGTACTGTATATTCTTGTTTGTATTTGTGGTACTGTATATTCACAGTTTCATAATTAACAAACAAAGTATTGATCAGCACTAACAGAAAGAAGTAGAAAGATAGAAGAACTGTGACACAGTCGTTTAACTGTGTTACAGAACATACAAGACTACATTAAAATCTAACAAGAAAAAAATTGATTTATATGTTATCTTTCTACTTGTTTCTATAAGTGCTGATCAATACACTGTCTGTTTGTTTATAATAAATGTTTCTTCGGCCTCAAGGGTGTCCCCTCTATTTATATATGTATACTGATGTCATGGGCTGCTGAAGGCTAATACATCAGAAAATATGTTGGATGTTGTTTTAAGAATCAACATCATAGCACTTGGGATACTCCTATAATCACTCCGTCCTAATCTTCAGCAGCATGCAAAGAGTTCCAATTCTGATGGTAACAGTAACTGTCTGATTGTACATTCATCTCACCTTTTCTTTGAGTGTTTAGTAACGCCATTCTCCTCGGACCGTAATGATCTATTTGTGCTTCCTCACTCCCAAAGGGCCTTCACAACATCTAGCTTGTCATGTACCACTAAGAGGTGCAGAACCGGCCAGTCTATCTGGCAGCTCTTTTTCCAACACACCAGCAAGCTTGCCACTCTGCACAGAACATGCACATTAGAAAAAGCAGATTGAAGATTCTTACAGCTCCCCCAACACTTCCAGGACTAACTGGAGAAGGCACACAAGTCTTGGAACGAACAGTTTTTACCGGGCAAGACATTTACCTTGGCTAGTTCATTCTCGATGACATCACTGCGCAAGTGAGCTGTGTCTAGCTGTGTGAAGAAGCGAGCGCCAATCATTGGCATCACGTCATTAATACTCCGCACACGTGATGGGTTCTGCAACAGGTAGCTGAAATACAGGTGACATGCTCATTCAAACAGTGTCTTCTAGTCCAGCATGGCAGTAGAAATAGTCTTAGCTAAGCTTCCCAGCAACTGCATCAATGGAATCCCCAAATTATTAACAAGACTGCTTTTTTTTAATATGTAGAGTTATTATTGGTGCAAAGGTTTTTTTTTTAATATGAAGGGAAGTAATCATGAAATACAAACAGATTAAAAAAAAAAACAGCTTACCTTTTTTTGACCTAGAAAGCAGCAGTTTTGCAAAGAGAGCCACAGAGCAAAGTGACGTCATCAAACATTTATGACATCAAGATAACACTTTAAAAATTAACTTTTTTCAACTCAAAACAATACCTGAAAGGGAAAAGTCCCCCCCCCCCCCCCCCCAACCGCCTTTTCTTCTTCAAAATTATAACATAGCCACCACATGTACACAAGAACCAGATGCAACCAGTTCTCAAGCTTGCCAGTGTACCAGGTCTGGTACAAAGACATCTGTGGTCAAAAACCTGTACAAGTCAGACCACTGGCTCTATGGGGGCAACATAGTACAAGTCAGAACATTGGCTCTATGGGGGCAACATAGTTCAAGTCAAAACACTGGCTCTATGGGGGCAACAGAGTTCAAGTCAGACCACTGGCTCTATGGGGGCAACAGAGTTCAAGTCAGACCACTGGCTCTATGGGGGCAACAGAGTACAAGTCAGACCACTGGCTCTATGGGGGCAACAGAGTTCAAGTCAGACCACTGGCTCTATGGGGGCAACAGAGTTCAAGTCAGAACACTGGCTCTATGGGGGCAACAGAGTTCAAAGAACACTGCTGGCTCTATGGGGGCAACAGAGTTCAAAGAACACTGCTGGCTCTATATGGGGGCAACAGATTTCAAGTCAGAACATTGGCTCTATGGGGGCAACATAGTTCAAGTCAAAACACTGGCTATATGGGGGCAACAGAGTTCAAGTCAGAACACTGGCTCTATGGGGGCAACAGAGTTCAAGTCAAAACATTGGCTCTATGGGGGCAACAGAGTTCAAGTCAGAACACTGGCTCTATGGGGGCAACAGAGTTCAAGTCAGAACATTGGCTCTATGGGGGCAACAGAGTTCAAGTCAGAACACTGGCTCTATGGGGGCAACAGAGTTCAAGTCAGAACATTGGCTCTATGGGGGCAACAGAGTTCAAGTCAGAACATTGGCTCTATGGTGGCAACAGAGTTCAAGTCAAAACACTGGCTCTATGGGGGCAATAGAGTTCAAGTCAGAACACTGGCTCTATGGGAGCAACAGAGTTCAAGTGAGAACACTGGCTCTATGGGGCAACAGAGTTCAAGTGAGAACACTGGCTCTATGGGAGCAACAGAGTTCAAGTCAGAACATTGGCTCTATGGGGGCAACAGAGTTCAAGTCAGAACATTGGCTCTATGGGGGCAACAGAGTTAAAGTCAGAACACTGGCTCAATGGGGGCAACAGAGTTCAAGTCAGAACATTGGCTCTATGGGGGCAACAGAGTTTAAGTCAGAACATTGGCTCTATGGGGGCAACAGAGTTCAAGTCAAAACACTGGCTCTATGGGGGCAATAGAGTTCAAGTCAGAAGGAGCATCCACTGCTACATTAACATGTATGTCATAAGAGGCTACTAATTAGAAGTTTGCTCAATTCACATGTACCGGGCCAAAAGTCACAGATATTGCATGCCAAGCTGTAAACCACAACAGAACATGCCAACCACACTTTTAGGGTGAACACAGAAGAAGAAGAAAAAAGATGAAGATAGAGGATCAGCAGGAGAAGAAAAAAGATGAAGATAGAGGATCAGCAGGAGAAGAAAAAAGATGAAGATAGAGGATCAGCAGGAGAAGAAAAAAGATGAAGATAGAGGATCAGCAGGAGAAGAAAAAAGATGAAGATAGAGGATCAGCAGGAGAAGAAAAAAGATGAAGATAGAGGATCAGCAGGAGAAGAAGATACAGAAGCAGAAGAAGAAAAAAGATGAAGATAGAGGATCAGCAGGAGAAGAAGATACAGAAGCAGAAGAAGAATAAAGTCAGAACTAGTGAGTTGTGGAGATCCTGTCTAAGCATACCAGATGAGGTTTTTGAGGTCTGGAGAGTAGTTCCTCTGCACTAAGTCCACTGCCGACTGGATGCCGTCTCTCTGGACACACATCAAACTGTTGCAGGCTAAAGCTAGAATGATCTTTCCCATGGCTGTCAGGTCTTCTTGCTGAAGATGAGAAACATAAAACCATCAATCTACATCATCCCGTAATACTACGTGTCATTAGCTCATCAGTTGCTGTTGACTGTCTGATCAGCTCTCTCCACCTTCGGTGGTCAGTTGCGATGGACTTCATGGTTGCATGCCTGAGGCCTGTCTAGTCAGTCAGGTTCTGTAACCAGGTCTTTCTTGGTCTGCCTCTGTAACCGGGTCTTTCTTGGTTTGCCTCTGTAACCGGGTCTTTCTTGGTCTGCCTCTGTAACCGGGTCTTTCTTGGTCTGCCTCTGTAACCGGGTCTTTCTTGGTCTGCCTCTGTAACCGGGTCTTTCTTGGTCTGCCTCTGTAACCGGGTCTTTCTTGGTCTGCCTCTGTAACCGGGTCTTTCTTGGTCTGCCTCTGTAACCGGGTCTTTCTTGGTCTGTCTCTTCTCCTTAACTAAGCCCTGCAGTATAGTTTTTGAGAGGCCGTAAGATCTTATTACATGTCGATACCATTGCGTTTTTCGTCTTTTAACTGTAGTTAATATGTTGTATAATTATATGACAAACCTCTTTGTTTGAAATGTAGTCTCTGTATAATATGTCAAGAATGTTTCTGAAACATGGCATTTCCAATGCTTGTATCTTCCTTTCAAGTTTAGCTGTTAAGGTCCACGTTGTACAGCCATATGTTAATGTACTAAGAGCTAGTGCTCTGAATAATCAAATCTTAGTTTTGCACTAAATATTTTTGGATCTCCATAAAGTTTGCTCCTAGGCAAGGACTGATGTTGTCTGTGCAATCCTAGACAGGATTTCTGGTCTTGACCCCGGGTCACTTCAAATGGATACTAAATATTTGAATGATTGACTTTGACAATTTGTGGTCCCTAACATAGTCTGGTGAAATTCTGCCAGCTGGATTATAAGTCATACATTTTTTTTCTGTGCCATACTTGGTCAATGTTTCACCGTGCAGATTTTCAAGCTCGACTAGCTTTTGTTCTTCCCCGGCCAACCCATCGATGTCATCTGCAAACCTGAAGTTTGTTATAGTTTGACCTCCGATACTAACTGTTCCATGATGTTGTTCTAGAGCGTCAGTCATAATTCTTTCTGAGAAGATGTTAAACAGTGTTGGGGCGAGGAGGCAGCCCTGTCGGACTCCTATTGTTGATTGGAACTAGCTCCTTATTTGTCCACTCAGGGTGACAGCCCTGTCGGACTCCTATTGTTGTTTGGAACTAGCTCCTTGTTTGTCCACTCAGGGTGACAGCACTACTGGCCTTGGTATAAAGCTGTTCTATACTATGTATGAGAGTTTTACCCATATTGTACTTTTCATAGTGTCCCAGAGTGCTGCATGGTAAACTCTATCGAAGGACTTTTTGAAATCAACGAACACATGATACAGATGTTTTTGGTGGTGATGGCATTGCTCTGATAATATTATTAGATTAAATATCTGTCAGAATCTCATATTTAACCATTCTGCTTTCCCACTGACTACAAGCAAACAAGTTAAGGACATTTTCTACGCCACTGGGGCACCAGGCAAATGATGCTGAACACATTTTGTTTACAGAACTGTCTGCGCTTGCTGTGTGATGTGTTCACATCAGGACTTTATCAGGTGTGTACAAATGTTTCACATCAGGACTTCATCAGGTGTGTACAAATGTTTCACATCAGGACTTTATCAGGTGTGTACAAATGTTTCACATCAGGACTTTATCAGGTGTGTACAAATGTTTCACATCAGGACTTTATCAGGTGTGTACAAATGTTTCACATCAGGACTTTATCAGGTGTGTACAAATGTTTCACATCAGGACTTTATCAGGTGTGTACAAATGTTTCACATCAGGACTTTATCAGGTGTGTACAAATGTTATACTGGGTCGACCTGGGAGATGGGGTCAATTACCCCAAAAAAAATCTGGCCTGATGCGGATTTGAACCTTAGACCTTTGGGCCAGAGTTGAAGCATCAAGCTGCTATGTCACAATAAGGACAATTAGGATGAAGGTAGTTCTACACCCCAGACTAGCAGAGGACAATAAGGAAGTTTTTCTACACAGTAAGGTAGAAACAGACAAAATTATTAGCTAGTATCTACATATTATGTAAAATATGCAAGACCTATGTTTCAAAAATTTTAAATAATTAACTCTCTCTCAGGTGTGTTTGTGCGTATCTGCGTCCGTAACTGTGTGTGTGTCTGCGTGCGTGTCTGTGAGTTTGTGTATGTCTATGTCTATATGACTGTGTGTTCTGCGTGTATCTCTGTGTGTCTGTCTGTGTGTGTGTATGTGTATCTGCATGCGTCTCTCTCGTGTTTTTTTCTGTGTATGTGTGTGTCTGCGGGGGTTTGTGCGTGTCTGCGTATGTGGCTGTGTATATGTCTGCATATGTCTATTTGTGTGTGTATATGACTGTGTTCTACATGTATGTCTGTGTGTGTGTCTTTGTTGTATTTTTGTTTGTCTGAATGTCTGTGTGTGTGTAAGTGTGTCTGTGTGAGTGTCTCAGTGTGTATATGTCTTTGTGTGTGTGTCTCTAGGTGTGTCTGCATGTGTGTGCCAGTGTGTATATGGTTGCGTGTGTATATGCACGTGTGTCTGCATGTGTGTCTGTGGGTGTGTTTGTGTGTCTGTGCATGTGTGTGTATGTCTGTGTGTATCTGTGTATGTCTGTGTGTATCTGAGTATATTTCTGTGGGTGTGTCTATGTGTGCATGTGTGTATCTGTATGTATGTGGGTATGTGCATGTAAATGGCTGCTCGTGTATTTGCACGTGTGTCTGTGGGTATGTTTGTGTGTGTGCGTCTGTGTGTCTGTGCATGTGTCTGTGTGTATCTGTGTATGTTTCTGTGGGTGTGTCTATGTGGTGGGTGTGTCTATGTGTGAATTTGTGTATCTGTATGTATGTGGGTATGTGCATGTGTGTATGTATGTATGTGGGTGTGTACATATGCGTGTTTAAGTGAACAGGTGAAAGAGGGTTGTTTGGAAGGGCCAAATGTATGACTGGCCTGCGTGCCTAATTTGTGACCCTTTGAAAATTAAGTTTGTTCGCTCTCTCTCTTTTCATCTTTCTGTGTAGTCTGTATTAATGTCATATTGTGCTTCTGTAGTGTCTCCTTCACATCTTCTATCTATCTCTCTCTTCTACCTCTTCTCTATTATCACAGAAGTAAAAAATCAAAGTTGAATTAATCTACTGTTAAAACAGAACTAGTCAGTCAACAGAGAAACAGTCAAGTCAACAGAGAAACAGTCAAGTCAACAGAGAAAACTAGTCAGCCAAGAGAGAGAACTAGTCAAGTCAACAGAGAGAACTAGTCAAATCAACAGAGAGAACTAGTCAGTCAAGAGAGAGAACTAGTCAAGTCAACAGAGAGAACTAGTCAAGTCAACAGAGAGAACTAGTCAAGTGAACAGAGAGTACTAGTCAAGTCAGCAGAGAGAACTAGTCAACAGAGAGAACTAGTCAGTCAACAGAGAGAACTAGTCAAGTCAACAGAGAGAACTAGTCAAGTCAACAGAGACAACTAGTCAAGTCAACAGAGACAACTGAACTAGTCAAGTCAAGAGAGAGAACTAGTCAAGTGAACAGAGAGAACTAGTCAAGTCAACAGAGAGAACTAGTCAACAGAGAGAACTAGTCAACAGAGAGAACTAGTCAAGTGAACAGAGACAACTAGTCAAGTCAAGAGAGAGAAGCACTGTCAGCATCAGTCACCCACCTTGTAAGCGTTGATGTTTTGTGTGGCTGCACTGTTCTCTGTAGTGATCACATCCAGGATACCAGCACAGTTGATCCTCAACCTGGGGACAAACAGCACGCACATACAACAAGGGACAAACAGCACGCACATACAACAAGGTACAAACAGCACGCACATACAACATGGGACAAACAGCACGCACATACAACAAGGGACAAACAGCACGCACATACAACAAGGTACAAACAGCACGCACATACAACATGGGACAACCAGCACGCACATACAACATGGTACAAACAGCACGCACATACAACATGGGACAAACAGCACACACATACAACATGGGACAACCAGCACGCACATACAACATGGGACAGCCACTATACACATATACAACAAGGGACAACCAGCACGCACATACAACAAGGGACAACCAACACGCACATACAACAAGGTACAAACAGCACGCACATACAACAAGGGACAAACAGCACGCACATACAACATGGGACAAACAGCACGCACATACAACATGGGACAAACAGCACGCACATACAACAAGGGACAAACAGCACGCACATACAACAAGGTACAAACAGCACGCACATACAACATGGGACAACCAGCACGCACATACAACATGGTACAAACAGCACGCACATACAACATGGGACAAACAGCACACACATACAACATGGGACAACCAGCACGCACATACAACATGGGACAGCCACTATACACATATACAACAAGGGACAACCAGCACGCACATACAACAAGGGACAACCAACACGCACATACAACAAGGTACAAACAGCACGCACATACAACAAGGGACAAACAGCACGCACATACAACAAGGTACAAACAGCACGCACATACAACAAGGGACAACCAGCCTGCACATACAACATGGGACAGCCACTATACACATATACAACAAGGGACAACCAGCACGCACATACAACAAGGGACAACCAACACGCACATACAACAAGGGACAACCAGCACGCACATCTGGTAGTCTGGTAGTCTTAGTTTCAGCTTCATAGCAACGGGTCGCCCCATCTTTGCTCCGCTCCTGTGCCAACGAAAAACACCTATAATGTTTATCAATCCCTTGTGGAAAGATTGACAGACTGCTGTCTCAGCATATCTAGCAATACACTCGCATTAAAGTATACGGTAGCTATCCGAAGTGCTAACACAAACAGTCCAACATTAGAAATGCAGTTCATCATTGATGATAGCAGAACTTGTCGCCAACAGTTCAGCAGTTGTCCACGCGATCAATTTTAACCAGATACGGGCACCGCCAACATTGCACGACAGGCATCACGCCATTTTCTGAATCTACAATTCACACCAACACGTTGGTCACAGTCGAAAATACATTCCAAATGCAATCCGCAGCTCACAGGGTCACGCCATGCATTCAACTCAGAAGCTGGGCGACGAAACTATATCCAGTCTACAAATGGAGCAAAAATACTTCGGCCACCGTCCGGCAGAAGCAAAAAATTTGCTTCTGCTTCGAACAGCTCTGCTGTCTAGCGTCCATTTTCTGAGGAGAGTCACATACAACAAGGGACAACCAGCACGCACATACAACAAGGGACAACCAGCACACACATACAACATGGGACAAACACTACACACATATACAACAAGGGACAACCAGCACGCACATACAACAAGGGACAACCAGCACGCACATAGAACAAGGGACAACCAGCACGCACATAGAACAAGGGATAACCAGCACGCACATACTACAAGGGACAACCAGCACGCATATACAAGGGACAACCAGCACGCACATACAACAAGGGACAACCAGCACACACATACAACATGGGACAAACACTACACACATATACAACAAGGGACAACCAGCACGCACATACAACAAGGGACAACCAGCACGCACATAGAACAAGGGATAACCTGCACGCACATACTACAAGGGATAACCTGCACGCACATACTACAAGGGACAACCAGCACGCACATACTATAAGGGACAACCAGCATGCACATACAACAAGGGACAACCACCACACACATATACAATAAGGGACAACCACCACACACACAAACAACAAGCGACAACCAGCACACACATACAACAAGGGACAAACAGCATGCACATACAACAAGGGACAACCATCACATACATATACAAGGGACAACCACCACACATATACAAGGGACAACCACCACACACACATACAAGGGACAACCACCACAAATATATACAAGGGACAACCACCACACACATATACAATAAGGGACAACCACTACACACATAAACAACAAGTGACAACTACCACACACACATAAACAACAAGCGACAACTACCACACACACATACGTCAATGAAAGCCTTACAATACAGGTAAAGCAACAAGTGGTCAAGTCAAAGAAACTTTGCAACAGTTACCACTTTAATAAATCTAGATTCTCTATGATCTATTCCATACTATTAAATCTAGACCCTCTGGCGCTTCGATTCTAAACCATCAAATCTAGATCCTCTGTATCCTTCAATTTCATTCTATCAGATATAGCTGCTCTATATGCTCCAATTCTGTTCTTTCACAACTTCTACTTCTGATGATCAAATTATACATAGGCCCTTAACTAACTTGTACTACTGCATGGTATCACTGGCAGTTGGCAGCTTGGGGCAGTGGCTCTATACTCTCCCCCACCCCCACAAAAGTGCCCCGGACCCCACATGTGGATTTCACACAGACAACACACAGACAAGGCACAACACATAGACAACAAGGGATGACAAGTGACAACATACAAACAACAAGGAACAACACACAGACAACATGGACAACACACAGACAAGGCACAACACATAGACAACAAGGGATGACAAGTGACAACATACAGACAACACAGGACAACATACAAACAACAAGGAACAACACACAGACAACAAGGGACAATATAAAGACAAAGGACTGCACAAACGCAACAAGCGACCACAAAATACATACAAGGGACAAGTGACAACATACAGACAACAAGGGACAACACTCAGACAGGGGACAACAAACAGACAAGAAGGGACAATATAAAGACAAGAGATGACAAGTGACAACATACAGACAACAAGAGACAACATTCAGACAACAAGGGACAAAACAGAGACAACACAGGACATCACATTGACAACCAGGACAACATAAAAACAACATGTAACAATACACAGACAATATGCAACCATAGACAACAAGGGACAACAGACAGACAAAATGGGATATCATACAGAGAACAAGGGACAACATACAGACAACAAGGAACAACACACTGACAACCGGAACAGCACAAAAACAACATGGAAGCACAAACAACATTTGACAAAACATAGTATTGAAGTGAACCACAGACAGACAATAAAAGACAAGACAGGACATCACATATACAACAAGGGACAACACACAGGCAACAATGGACAACACACAGGCAACAATGGACAACACAAAGATAACATGGGACCACACACAGAAAACGAACGGATAATACGAGGCAGTCAATGAGAAGAAGGACAGCGTACCTGGCCTTTCCTGTGACAATAATTCTGTTGAGATCTAAAGACCGGACTGCCAGATTGGCCGAGTGGATAGCTCTCAAGGCAGAACTCAGCTGTACGATATATGTCCATATCAAGCTCTCTGGCAACAGGCTGCTGTTCACACTACGCTGTGTGTTGTTACCTGTCAACAGGAAGTTATAAAACACAATATAACATTTCACAACACACAGTTCTTCTTCTTGTCCGGCTACTTCTTCCTTCTTTTCCTTCCATTTCGTTTTTTCTTTCTTCATCACTGAAAGAAGCCAAGGTTACAAAAAAATTTGCAGTTTTTTAAGGTACCACCAGTTCCGTGGCAGGAGCAGACGCGCCATTTTCTGAATCTGCACTTGACAAAATAAACTTCTAACGCTCTCTCAATAAAACATACATTCTTCTGTTTCCCTACTGGCCCCACTGACACAATTGCATCAGTAACATGCAATCTGCCCTACAAACACGAGGGCACTGACAACATACAATATACCCCACATACACAAGGAAATTAACAACTTACAACGTGCCCTACAAACACGAGGGCACTGACAACATACAATGTGCCCTAAATACAAATGGGCACTGACAACATACGTGCCCTACAAACACCAGGGCACTGACAACATACAACGTGCCCTACATACACAAGAAAATTAACAACTTACAATATGCCCCACAAACTCAAGGGGCATAAACAACTGTTAAAATGCCCCACAAAACACACTGACAACATACAATGTACCCTACATATATACATGGGCACTGACAACATACAATGTACCCTACATATACAAGGGCATTGACAACATTAAATATGACCCACAAAACACACTGGCACTGACAACATACAATGTGCCCTACACATACATGGGCACTGACAACATACAAAGTGTCCCACTGACATGAGGGTACTGACAACATACAATGTGCTCTAGGGACACAAGGGCATCGATGACATACAATGTGCCCCACTGACACAAGGGCATTGATGACATACAATGCGTCCCACTGACACAAGGGCATTGACGACATACAATGTACCTCACTGACACAAGGGCATTGACGACATACAATGTGTCCCACTGACACAAGGGCATTGACGACATACAATGCGTCCCACTGACACAAGGGCATTGACGACATACAATGTACCTCACTGACACAAGGGCATTGACGACATACAATGTGTCCCACTGACACAAGGGCATTGACGACATACAATGTGTCCCACAGACACAAGGGCATTGATGACATACAATGTGTCCCACTGACACAAGGGCATTGACGACATTCAATGTGTCCCACTGACACAAGGGCATTGATGACATACAATGTGTCCCACTGACACAAGGGCATTGACAACATACAATGTGTCCCACTGACACAAGGGCATTGACGACATACAATGTGCCCCACTGACACAAGGGCATCAACGACATACAATGTGCCCCATTGACACAAGGGCATCGATGACACACAATGTTAATGAGTGTAAAACAGAAGCAAATGGACTCACTTTTGCCGTGTTCCCTGGAGAAGGGGTGATGAGAGTGCTGGCTGTAACCGTTGATGTGGTGTGGAGAGAAGAGGCTGGACATCAGTGTCTCTGCACCAGCATGGTAGTCATAGACGAACACAATGGCTGTCAGGACACACAATATCTCCCCAGTTATGTGACTGTACACGGTCAGGACACACAATATCTCCCCAGTTATGTGACTGTACACAGTCATGACACACAATATCTCCCCAGTTATGTGACTGTACACGGTCAGGACACACAATATCTCCCCAGTTATGTGACTGTACACGGTCAGGACACACAATATCTCCCCAGTTATGTGACTGTACACAGTGAGGACACACAATATCTCCCCAGTTATGTGACTGTACACGGTCAGGACACACAATATCTCCCCAGTTATGTGACTGTACACGGTCAGGACACACAATATCTCCCCAGTTATGTGACTGTACACGGTCAGGACACACAATATCTCCCCAGTTATGTGACTGTACACGGTCAGGACACAAAATATCTCCCCAGTTATGTGACTGTACACAGTCAGGACACAAAATATCTCCCCAGTTATGTGACTGTATACGGTCAGGACACAAAATATCTCCCCAGTTATGTGACTGTACACAGTCAGGACACACAATATCTCCCCAGTTATATGACTGTACACGGTCAGGACACACAATATCTTCCCAGTTATGTGACTGTACACAGTGAGGACACACAATATCTCCCCAGTTATGTGACTGTACACAGTGAGGACACACAATATCTTCCCAGTTATGTGACTGCACACGGTGAGGACACACAATATCTCCCCAGTTATGTGACTGTACACAGTGAGGACACACAATATCTTCCCAGTTATGTGACTGTACACGGTGAGGACACACAATATCTCCCCAGTTATGTGACTGTACACAGTCAGGACACACAATATCTCCCCAGTTATGTGACTGTACACGGTCAGGACACACAATATCTCCCCAGTTATGTGACTGTACACAGTGAGGACACACAATATCTCCCCAGTTATGTGACTGTACACGGTCAGGACACACAATATCTCCCCAGTTATGTGACTGTACACGGTCAGGACACACAATATCTCCCCAGTTATGTGACTGTACACAGTGAGCAACTACAATGTGACTGTACACAGTGAGCAACTACAATGTGACTGTACACAGTGAGCAACTACAATGTGACTGTACACAGTGAGCAACTACAATGTGACTGTACACAGTGAGCAACTACAATGTGACTGTACACAGTGAGCAACTACAATGTGACTGTACACAGTGAGCAACTACAATGTGACTGTACACAGTGAGCAACTACAATGTGACTGTACACAGTGAGCAACTACAATGTGACTGTACACAGTGAGCAACTACAATGTGACTGTACACAGTGAGCAACTACAATGTGACTGTACACAGTGAGCAACTACAATGTGACTGTACACAGTGAGCAACTACAATGTGACTGTACACAGTGAGCAACTACAATGTGACTGTACACAGTGAGCAACTACAATGTGACTGTACACAGTGAGCAACTACAATGTGACTGTACACAGTGAGCAACTACAATGTGACTGTACACAGTGAGCAACTACAATGTGACTGTACACAGTGAGCAACTACAATGTTACTGTACACAGTGAGCAACTACAGTTTTAATTACTTGTAAATTGGAGTCTCCGTGGAGAAGTGGTTAAGTTGTTTGCGTCACACTCTGAAGGTTACAGGTTTCATTGTCAGTGTGTTGTTCTCCGGCTGTCAGTAATTTACACATCTTGTTGAAGATATTGTCAGTGTGTTGTTCTCCGGCTGTCAGTAATTTACACATCTTGTTGAAGATATTTTCAGTGTGTTGTTCTCCGGCTGTCAGTAATTTACACATCTTGTTGAAGATATTGTCAGTGTGTTGTTCTCCGGCTGTCAGTAATTTACACATCTTGTTGAAGATATTGTCAGTGTGTTGTTCTCCGGCTGTCAGTAATTTACACATCTTGTTGAAGATATTGTCAGTGTGTTGTTCTCCGGCTGTCAGTAATTTACACATCTTGTTGAAGATATTGTCAGTGTGTTGTTCTCCGGCTGTCAGTAATTTACACATCTTGTTGAAGATATTGTCAGTGTGTTGTTCTCCGGCTGTCAGTAATTTACACATCTTGTTGAAGATATTGTTAGTGTGTTGTTCTCCGGCTGTCAGTAATTTACACATCTTGTTGAAGATATTTTCAGTGTGTTGTTCTCCGGCTGTCAGTAATTTACACATCTTGTTGAAGATATTGTCAGTGTGTTGTTCTCCGGCTGTCAGTAATTTACACATCTTGTTGAAGATATTGTCAGTGTGTTGTTCTCCGGCTGTCAGTAATTTACACATCTTGTTGAAGATATTGTCAGTGTGTTGTTCTCCGGCTGTCAGTAATTTACACATCTTGTTGAAGATATTGTCAGTGTGTTGTTCTCCGGCTGTCAGTAATTTACACATCTTGTTGAAGATATTGTCAGTGTGTTGTTCTCCGGCTGTCAGTAATTTACACATCTTGTTGAAGATATTGTCAGTGTGTTGTTCTCCGGCTGTCAGTAATTTACACATCTTGTTGAAGATATTGTCAGTGTGTTGTTCTCCGGCTGTCAGTAATTTACACATCTTGTTGAAGATATTGTCAGTGTGTTGTTCTCCGGCTGTCAGTAATTTACACATCTTGTTGAAGATATTTTCAGTGTGTTGTTCTCCGGCTGTCAGTAATTTACACATCTTGTTGAAGATATTGTCAGTGTGTTGTTCTCCGGCTGTCAGTAATTTACACATCTTGTTGAAGATATTTTCAGTGTGTTGTTCTCCGGCTGTCAGTAATTTACACATCTTGTTGAAGATATTGTCAGTGTGTTGTTCTCCGGCTGTCAGTAATTTACACATCTTGTTGAAGATATTGTCAGTGTGTTGTTCTCCGGCTGTCAGTAATTTACACATCTTGTTGAAGATATTGTCAGTGTGTTGTTCTCCGGCTGTCAGTAATTTACACATCTTGTTGAAGATATTGTCAGTGTGTTGTTCTCCGGCTGTCAGTAATTTACACATCTTGTTGAAGATATTGTCAGTGTGTTGTTCTCCGGCTGTCAGTAATTTACACATCTTGTTGAAGATATTGTCAGTGTGTTGTTCTCCGGCTGTCAGTAATTTACACATCTTGTTGAAGATATTGTCAGTGTGTTGTTCTCCGGCTGTCAGTAATTTACACATCTTGTTGAAGATATTGTCAGTGTGTTGTTCTCCGGCTGTCAGTAATTTACACATCTTGTTGAAGATATTGTCAGTGTGTTGTTCTCCGGCTGTCAGTAATTTACACATCTTGTTGAAGATATTGTCAGTGTGTTGTTCTCCGGCTGTCAGTAATTTACACATCTTGTTGAAGATATTGTCAGTGTGTTGTTCTCCGGCTGTCAGTAATTTACACATCTTGTTGAAGATATTTTCAGTGTGTTGTTCTCCGGCTGTCAGTAATTTACACATCTTGTTGAAGATATTGTCAGTGTGTTGTTCTCCGGCTGTCAGTAATTTACACATCTTGTTGAAGATATTGTCAGTGTGTTGTTCTCCGGCTGTCAGTAATTTACACATCTTGTTGAAGATATTTTCAGTGTGTTGTTCTCCGGCTGTCAGTAATTTACACATCTTGTTGAAGATATTTTCAGTGTGTTGTTCTCCGGCTGTCAGTAATTTACACATCTTGTTGAAGATATTGTCAGTGTGTTGTTCTCCGGCTGTCAGTAATTTACACATCTTGTTGAAGATATTTTCAGTGTGTTGTTCTCCGGCTGTCAGTAATTTACACATCTTGTTGAAGATATTTTCAGTGTGTTGTTTCTCCGGCTGTCAGTAATTTACACATCTTGTTGAAGATATTTTCAGTGTGTTGTTTCTCCGGCTGTCAGTAATTTACACATCTTGTTGAAGATATTGTCAGTGTGTTGTTCTCCGGCTGTCAGTAATTTACACATCTTGTTGAAGATATTTTCAGTGTGTTGTTCTCCGGCTGTCAGTAATTTACACATCTTGTTGAACTTGTTGAAGATATTTTCAGTGTGTTGTTCTCCGGCTGTCAGTAATTTACACATCTTGTTGAAGATATTTTCAGTGTGTGTTGTTCTCCGGCTTGTCAGTAATTTACACATCTTGTTGAAGATATTTTCAGTGTGTTGTTCTCCGGCTGTCAGTAATTTACACATCTTGTTGAAGATATTTTCAGTGTGTTGTTCTCCGGCTGTCAGTAATTTACACATCTTGTTGAAGATATTGTCAGTGTGTTGTTCTCCGGCTGTCAGTAATTTACACATCTTGTTGAAGATATTTTCAGTGTGTTGTTCTCCGGCTGTCAGTAATTTACACATCTTGTTGAAGATATTGTCAGTGTGTTGTTCTCCGGCTGTCAGTAATTTACACATCTTGTTGAAGATATTGTCAGTGTGTTGTTCTCCGGCTGTCAATAATTTACACAGCTTGTTGAAGATATTTTCAGTGTGTTGTTCTCCGGCTGTCAGTAATTTACACATCTTGTTGAAGATATTGTCAGTGTGTTGTTCTCCGGCTGTCAGTAATTTACACATCTTGTTGAAGATATTTTCAGTGTGTTGTTCTCCGGCTGTCAGTAATTTACACATCTTGTTGAAGATATTGTGAGTGTGTTGTTCTCCGGCTGTCAGTAATTTACACATCTTGTTGAAGATATTTTCAGTGTGTTGTTCTCCGGCTGTCAGTAATTTACACATCTTGTTGAAGATATTTTCAGTGTGTTGTTCTCCGGCTGTCAGTAATTTACACATCTTGTTGAAGATATTTTCAGTGTGTTGTTCTCCGGCTGTCAGTAATTTACACATCTTGTTGAAGATATTTTTAGTGTGTTGTTCTCCGGCTGTCAGTAATTTACACATCTTGTTGAAGATATTTTCAGTGTGTTGTTCTCCGGCTGTCAGTAATTTACACATCTTGTTGAAGATATTTTTAGTGTGTTGTTCTCCGGCTGTCAGTAATTTACACATCTTGTTGAAGATATTTTCAGTGTGTTGTTCTCCGGCTGTCAGTAATTTACACATCTTGTTGAAGATATTTTTAGCCATTTTTTAAGTCTTTTTATAAGATGGGATGAATTCAAGAGGGGTGAAGAAACAAGGGAAAAGCCTAGACAACCACTGTCACAGTTGTGATCTGGACTTCATCTGTGATATCGAAGTGACTGCACAGGATTCAGCGGAATGGAGGAACAGTGAGCCCTGTGTGACACATAATGGTCATCAGTCAGGGTTCCAACATGACTGCAGACAGGCTGCCCCACCATTGCCCTGTTTCTGTGCAGTGGACATCACACAAAATGTCCTTCATTGTCCTAGTAAAAATGCATAAGGCAGCCGTCAGATGTGCCAACACTAACAGTCCAACATCATAACTGCAGCTAAATGATGGCACACTCAATAACAAAGGCCCACAAAAGTACACACAATTCAACAATATAATACATACTATATATATACACACATACACATAACAGATGTTATGGTACAATGATTTTAATTTTAAAACAATCCTCATTTCTAAACTAATTTTAAAAATAAAAAAATAAAAAATAAAAATTTTTTTGGGATTTGAACCCACATTCAGCAGGCAAGCATGCAAGTCAGACCCCACAAGTCCTGGGTCATCAGTAATGGATTCCAGGTTTTTGTGGTTTGGGAGGCAATGAAAAGGCAGAAGCACACTAGCCAGAAGTGGCAGCGACATGCTGCAATCAAACTGGACCCGAATCCATGAACAGACTAAGACATTAATTTTTTTAAATAAAAACATTAACAAAACACTAGTCTCCATGAAAAGTGCATGGATGCACACACTAAACTGTCTCACCAAGACTCTCTTCGTCGACTTTCTGGAGAGGAACAATGTGTGATATTCAAGTTTTTCGGTGCAGCAAACATTCAGAAGTATCCCTACAATCTGTCACTGTAAGCTGTAGCTGTATGGTATATGGAGAGATATGGACTGCATGATAGCTTTCATCAAGGCAATCAGCCTCCTGGTATACATTTTCTGACAAAAGAATTGAAGAAGAAGAAGAAAAATAAAAGGACCAGCAACAAACTGACTCACAATTATCATTGAAAGATTTCGTAGTGAAGACTTCCTTCAGCATAACAACGTTTGGGTGGTAGAGTTTCTTCCAGTTTTCTATGATGGAGGTAAATTTGGTTCCAGCCAATCGGAATCCTGTGTAAAACAATAAGTATTTATCATGTCAGAAAATAAACAGGGACAGTAAATAAGAGCAGCATTTGTTGAAATTGAGCTGCAGTTTCAGTGGCAAGGATTCATGTTTGCTGAAACTGAGCTGCACAATTTCTGGGACTGACAGGGATTCATGTTTGTTGAAACTGAGCTGCACAATTTCTGGGACTGACAGGGATTCATGTTTGTTGAAACTGAGCTGCACAGTTTCTGGGACTGACAAGGATTCATGTTTGTTGAAACTGAGCTGCAGAGTTTCTGTGACAGGGATTCATGTTTGTTGAAACTGAGCTGCCCAGTTTTTGTGACAGGGATTCGTGTTTGTTGAAACTGAGCTGCACAGTTTATATGACAGGGATTCGTGTGTTTTTAAACTGAGCTGCACAGTTTCTGGGACTGACAAGGATTCATGTTTGTTAAAACTGAGCTGCAGTTTCTGGGACTGACAAGGATTCATGTTTGTTGAAACTGAGCTGCACAGTTTCTGGGACTGACGAGGATTTATGTTTGATGAAACTGAGCTGCACAGTTTCTGTGACAGGGATTCATGTTTTTTTTTAAACTGAGCTGCACAGTTTCTGTGACAGGGATTCATGTTTTTTTTAAACTGAGCTGCACAGTTTCTGTGACAGGGATTCATGTTTTTTTTAAACTGAGCTGCACAGTTTCTGTGACAGGGATTCACGTTTCTTGAAACTGAGCTGCACAGTTTCTGGGACAAGGATTCATGTTTGATGAAACTGAGCTGCACAGTTTCTGTGACAAGGATTCGTGTTTGATGAAACTGAGCTGCACAGTTTCTGTGACAGGGATTCATGTTTGTTGAAATTGAGCTGCAATGTTTCTAGGACTGACAGGGATTCATGTTTGTTGAAACTGAGCTGCAATGTTTCTAGGACTGACAGGGATTCGTGTTTGTTGAAACTGAGCTGCTCAGTTTATATGACAGGGATTCGTGTGTTTTTAAACTGAGCTGCACAGTTTCTGGGACTGACAGGGATTATTCATGTTTGTTAAAACTGAGCTGCAGTTTCTGGGACTGACAAGGATTCATGTTTGTTGAAATTGAGCTGCACAGTTTCTGGGACTGACAAGGATTCATGTTTGTTGAAATTGAGCTGCACAGTTTCTGGGACTGACAAGGATTCATGTTTGTTGAAATTGAGCTGCACAGTTTCTGGGACTGACAAGGATTCATGTTTGTTGAAACTGAGCAGCACAGTTTCTGTGACAAGGATTCATGTTTGATGAAACTGAGCTGCACAGTTTCTGGGACAAGGATTCATGTTTGTTGAAATTGAGCTGCACAGTTTCTGGGACTGACAAGGATTCATGTTTGTTGAAATTGAGCTGCACAGTTTCTGGGACAAGGATTCATGTTTGTTGAAATTGAGCTGCACAGTTTCTGGAACTGACAAGGATTCATGTTTGTTGAAATTGAGCTGCACAGTTTCTGGGACTGACAAGGATTCATGTTTGTTGAAATTGAGCTGCACAGTTTCTGGGACTGACAAGGATTCATGTTTGTTGAAATTGAGCTGCACAGTTTCTGGGACTGACAAGGATTCATGTTTGTTGAAATTGAGCTGCACAGTTTCTGGGACTGACAAGGATTCATGTTTGTTGAAATTGAGCTGCACAGTTTCTGGGACTGACAAGGATTCATGTTTGTTGAAATTGAGCTGCACAGTTTCTGGGACTGACAAGGATTCATGTTTGTTGAAATTGAGCTGCACAGTTTCTGGGACTGACAAGGATTCATGTTTGTTGAAATTGAGCTGCACAGTTTCTGGGACTGACAAGGATTCATGTTTGTTGAAATTAAGCTGCACAGTTTCTGGGACTGACAAGGATTCATGTTTGTTGAAATTGAGCTGCACAGTTTCTGGGACTGACAAGGAATTATGTTTGTTGAAACTGAGCTGCACAGTTTCTGTGACAAGGATTCATGTTTGTGACTCACTGTATGTTGATTATTTAATGCACCTGATGAGATAATCAAAATATGAAAGGCAATCAACTGTGCAACGTTTTCTTTGTGCCAACACTATATGTTGTGAATGATAAATGGTTAAATAGATGAAGGGCTGGATAAGTGAACGAATGGATGAAAGGCTGGAAGATAGCCTATCTGGATAAGTGAATGAATGGATGAAAGACTGGAAGATAGACTATCTCTGGATAAGTGAACGAATGGATGAAAGACTGGAAGATAGACTATCTCTGGATAAGTGAACGAATGGATGAAAGACTGGAAGAGAGCCTATCTCTGGATAAGTGAACGAATGGATGAAAGACTGGAAGATAGACTATCTCTGGATAAGTGAACGAATGGATGAAAGACTGGAAGATAGCCTATCTCTGGATAAGTGAATGAATGGATGAAAGACTGGAAGATAGACTATCTCTGGATAAGTGAACGAATGGATGAAAGACTGGAAGATAGCCTATCTCTGGATAAGTGAACGAATGGATGAAAGATTGGAAGATAGCCTATCTCTGGATAAGTGAACGAATGGATGAAAGACTGGAAGATAGCCTATCTGGATAAGTGAATGAATGGATGAAAGACTGTAAGATAGACTATCTCTGGATAAGTGAATGAATGGATGAAAGGCTGGAGGATAGACTATCTCTGGATAAGTGAACGAATGAATGAAAGACTAGAAGATAGCCTATCTCTGGATAAGTGAATGAATGGATGAAAGACTAGAAGATAGCCTATCTCTGGTTATAGCCTCAGATATTCTATCCATCACCCGTGTGGTGGACCTCTAGTTCTGTCTGCATTAGGTCTCAGTGACAGCTATCTCCATGATGCACTATCTGGTGGTAGTCTTCTTGATGCATGTCCAAACCTTACATCTGTTGTCTCTTGATGCATGTCCAAACCTTACATCTGTTGTCTCTTGATGCATGTCCAAACCTTACATCTGTTGTCTCTTGATGCATGTCCAAACCTTACATCTGTTGTCTCTTGATGCATGTCCAAACCTTACATCTGTTGTCTCTTGATGCATGTCCAAACCTTACATCTGTTGTCTCTTGATGCATGTCCAAACCTTACATCTGTTGTCTCTTGATGCATGTCCAAACCTTACATCTGTTGTCTCTTGATGCATGTCCAAACCTTACATCTGTTGTCTCTTGATGCATGTCCAAACCTTACATCTGTTGTCTCTTGATGCATGTCCAAACCTTACATCTGTTGTCTCTTGATGCATGTCCAAACCTTACTTCTGTTGTCTCTTGATGCATGTCCAAACCTTACATCTGTTGTCTCTTGATGCATGTCCAAACCTTACATCTGTTGTCTCTTGATGCATGTCCAAACCTTACTTCTGTTGTCTCTTGATGTAGTTTTGTAGTGATTCAATCCCAACCTCTGTCCTGATGTCATCATTTCACATCCTGTCTCTACTAGTTACATTTATGTCATCATTTCACATCCTGTCTCTACTAGTTACATTTATGTCATCATTTCACATCCTGTCTCTACTAGTTACATTTATGTCATCATTTCACATCCTGTCTCTACTAGTTACATTTATGTCATCATTTCACATCCTGTCTCTACTAGTTACATTTATGTCATCATTTCACATCCTGTCTCTACTAGTTACATTTATGTCATCATTTCACATCCTGTCTCTACTAGTTACATTTATGTCATCATTTCACATCCTGTCTCTACTAGTTACATTTATGTCATCATTTCACATCCTGTCTCTACTAGTTACATTTATGTCATCATTTCACATCCTGTCTCTACTAGTTACATTTATGTCATCATTTCACATCCTGTCTCTACTAGTTACATTTATGTCATCATTTCACATCCTGTCTCTACTAGTTACATTTATGTCATCATTTCACATCCTGTCTCTACTAGTTACATTTATATCATCATTTCACATCCTGTCTCTACTAGTTACATTTATGTCATCATTTCACATCCTGTCTCTACTAGTTACATTTATGTCATCATTTCACATCCTGTCTCTACTAGTTACATTTATGTCATCATTTCACATCCTGTCTCTACTAGTTACATTCATATCATCATTTCACATCCTGTCTCTACTAGTTACATTTATATCATCATTTCACATCCTGTCTCTACTAGTTACATTTATGTCATCATTTCACATCCTGTCTCTACTAGTTACATTTATGTCATCATTTCACATCCTGTCTCTACTAGTTACATTTGTCATCATTTCACATCCTGTCTCTACTAGTTACATTTATGTCATCATTTCACATCCTGTCTCTACTAGTTACATTTATATTATCATTTCACATCCTGTCTCTACTAGTTACATTTATATCATCATTTCACATCCTGTCTCTACTAGTTACATTTATAATTCGTCTCAGACATTTGATTTCTGTTGTTTCTGATTTTATTTTTTTTCTCTCAAAGTTAATGTCCATGTTTGGCACTGGTAACACAATTCTGGTAAAAAATATTGTATCTAATAGTGCTCTTTTGGTGTCAAATGTTCCATATTTGTTCTGTAAAATTAGTGATACCTGTCCTATGATTTGATCTGCTCTGTTACATCTGTATTCTTTCTTTGCTTGCATTTGTCTACATGATAATTTAATGCTCCCTAGATACTTGAAGCCTGCTTGCTTTAGTTGCTGATTTGCTATGCATGTCTTGATTGGTTTTTCAGTTCTTGTAATTTATTTTCATTGTTAGTTTCCAGGTTTTGTGCTGTTGCTGCTATATTATCCAGGTATCTTTGCAGCAGCTCCTCTGTAGCTGCAATAAGGACGGCCATCTGCAAAAATTTCCTCACTTATTGTGCTCCAACATGTTGGATGCTTGACTGATTTGATCTATATGTGATAAATAACAAGGGGGATTGGACACATCCCTGACAGACTCTGGATGGTGAATAAAATGTTTCATTACCTTTAGTCATAAAATGGGATTAATTCAACAGGGGTGATGAAATAGGAGAAATGTCTGGGCAACCACTTGTAACAACAGGTATGAGACAAAGAGGATGATGCTTTACTAGACAATAAAGAGACTCAGGAAGCGAGGATATCCAAAAGAAACCCTAAAGTGAACATTGATGAGAGAGGCCAAAGGTATTTGACTGGATTCCATCCATGGTATTGAAGGCATTGCACAGGATAGAATGGAATGGAAGATAGACGGTGAGCCCTATGTGACATAATGGCACAACAGGACAATCTTGATGATGGACCATACAGCCAGTTCTGATCTATAGCAAGTGTCACAGACAACACACTAACCATGGATATAGCAAGTGTCACAGACAACACACTAACCATGGATATAGCAAGTGTCACAGACAACACACTAACCATGGATATAGCAAGTGTCACAGACAACACACTAACCATGGATTCTGCGCAGGCAGTAATATAAACCATCTTTTGTGCACAGGGCTTTGTATGTGGTTGAAGGCAAGTTTCCAATTGAAGGCTTCGAAGGCCCAATCCTCTCCAAGGGGCAGAGGTTCTGGTAGTTGTCCACTTCTGAGGGTAGATCCACTAGAGGACACAAGTATAACAATCAATTATCGGTTGACAAAGATAAGGGTTGAAAGAGATAAGGATAGGCAGAGATAAGGGTTGGCAGAAAAAAGGGTTGCAGAGTTAAGGATTGGCAGTTCCAGCAAGTTTTTGAAGACTTTGGGTAGGCTTAAAAAGGAGTTTAAAGATAAGGATTGAAACAGTGCTGTCATGCAGGCAGCAGGAAATGACAGATGGAGATAAAGGTTGACAAAATCAAGTCAGACGGAGATAAGGGTTGACAGAATCAAGTCAGACAAAGATAAGGATTGACAGAATCAAGTCAGACAGAGATAAGGATTGACAGAGTCCAGTCAGATGAAGATAAGGATCGACAGAGTCCAGTCAGATGAAGATGAGGATTGACAGAGTCCAGTCAGATGAAGATGAGGATTGACAGAATCCAGTCAGACAGTTGAAGAAAAGAGATAAGTTTAAGCAGAAAGATAACAGGCAAGATTTCAATCAGAAAGTTTGAGAATAACGCTGACAAAATTCAGATAAAAAGCTGGAGATATGGAGTTGACAGAAATAAATATAACAATTAAACAAAGTATAACTTCTACAGTACATATTTGACCATTTCAGTCATAAATAACTATAAACTGTCAGCAAATTTAAGTTATTTGATAGTAAACTTAAAATAATATTAATAATTAGAAACAAAAGTTATATAATATAATAATAAATAATTTATCATTATAAACTGAAGCTACGTGATAAAAAAGCTACAATAATAGACTAAAGCATGTGTAACTAAACTTATAATAATTATAAACTTAAATTACATAATAATAAACTAATAATAGAAATTATAATGATCAACTAGAGTTACAGGATAATAACAAAAAATGTAGACTCTACACTAAAGTTATTCAATACTAAACAAAACCTGAAAGTGTAAGTTACTGTTGTATAATGATACTAAACAAAACCCAATAGTGACAGTTTACGTTATATGATGATATTAAACAAAACTGTACCAGAACCCACGTAAGAATACAACACCACTCACCTCCAATGGGGGACGCCGGGTCGGTTTGCATCATTGTCAAAACATGACGGTTGAGAATATCCTGGAGGAGAACAAGCAATAACAATGAGACCTCCCCCACATGTGAAGATTTATGTCAAAGTAACCGTTTTCTGGCTTCTAGGCTCTATTTCTGAGTGGGACAATAATAGACCCCTGCACCCATAACAAGCGTGTTATAAAACACTAATTAGGGGTTTTTTCATTCGAGGTCAGAGTATATGCCTCAGAGGTCAGGAATCAACAGTCTGCATACAAATAAGCCAGATCTGTAAAACAGATGTTCATGCACAATTCACGTTCTGGAATAAACCCTAAGTCCAGAAGTGGATGAACAACCAAAACTTTTCCATCATAGTTTACAGCCAGTGAGTGCTAAGAAGTAGCAAATGACGCACCCTGGCTCAGATACCGATCACTTGTTAAACCGACATTGATGACAACAAACAAGTAAAGATGAATTAATTAATCTTCTTCTTTTTGTTTTATTGCTCTGTCATAACAAGTCACAGAGAGGAGTTTCCTGTCTTCTGCTAATTGTGTAACCTGTGTTAACGTCATACAGCAATTTTGTAGTATCTCTTTTACTCTTTCTACCCATATTTTTGTGATTGATCTGCCTCTTGTCCTATAGCCTACAGTTCTCATGTAGTATACACGAACTACTGGCTAATTTTGTTCCATTCTGACCAGATCATCAAACCATTTGATTCTCTGATGTTCTATGAAATCATTTAACAGTACGTGCCTACCATTCTTCTTAGTCCTTCATTGGTGACACTGTCTCTTCGTTTTTCCCGCCATATCTCACATGCTGTCATTTTGCATTTGTTTTTCTTCATTAATGGATACACACAACATATTCATTGACCAGGTTAAACCAAAAAAAAAAAAAACATGCATACAGACATTTACATATAACATATTCACAGAGTAACATAAACAAACATTACAAACACTATTAATTTACTATTTTATTTCTTCTTCTTCTTTGTTCAGCAGCTGTAAGCTTGGGTGGAAAGTCTTGGCTGTTGTTCATTTAGATGCCGGCTTTGTGCCAGAGCCTGAGTTTTACTCGTACATCCGTTTTACTGGTTTATTTGTGTGCAGCTGGTTGTTTCTCGCTGCTCTGGCAGATGTACGCTAGCTCTGAAGGTAGCCCCCAATTAGTCGACTCCTACAACATGCTTGGTGGGGAGGCAGAGGGTCCATTTTTGTGTTCCCCACAATGAGGCCCCAGAACCCATACAGGGAGTTATTTTATTTAACATGTTTATTTTTCTTCCCCTCTTTCTTAAAAGGTCTTCTTACTTTATTTTTTTTTGGTAATATAGCCCTTCATGTCCATATTAACCCCGCATTACGAATTTCCTGGTTTCATTTGGGTGTTTAGAAGCTCTGTTGTCTTGTCCACTGACTAAGCGTTCTGTCACAGTTTGCACTGACAGACTTTGATCAAAGTTTTCAATTATAATTGTGCGCATCATTTCCATTGACACCACTGTGCGTTCCGTCACAGTTTGCGCTGACAGACTTTGATCAAAGAGTTCAGTTGTATTTGTGCGCATAATTTCCATTCACACCACTGAGCTTTCTGTCACAGTTTGCACTGACAGACTTTGATCAAAGTTTTCAATTATAATTGTGCGCATCATTTCCATTGACACCACTGTGCGTTCCGTCACAGTTTGCGCTGACAGACTTTGATCAAAGTGTTCAGTTGTATTTGTGCACACCACTGAGCTTTGTAGTCACATTTTATGTTATTTAGCATACAACAAAAAGTAGATGACACTGCAAGCAGAGAACTAAATAAAAACTAGCAAACAAAATGTGAAACAATTACCATTTTCAGTTCATCTGGAGCAAAATACTGGGGCACTGAAGACTTCATCCTCAGGTGAACAACGTGGGCTGGCATGGCGGGGTAGACACAGAAAGACGGCAGGGACTGAAAACATGGTCATATGCAATCAGTTCTGGATATCACAGGTGACTCAAGAGTGTCTACTGTCTAGATGTGTTGTGGGTATTTCTACCTCTCATTACAGATAAGTGATTCTGTGTACTCTTGTTTGTAATTGTATCATTGCTTATTTGTGTCATATGGTGATTAAGGCTTTATAGATGCAAGATACGTTTTGTTATTTGTGATTGCTATCATGTGAAGCTGACTATTTCTACTTCTCATCTGGACTGATATCTTTTCATGGCAGTTCCAACATCTATTACTCTTCATACTCTTCACATGGGCAAACACCACTGTGGAGATAACTGAAGGTCTAGTCTGCTCAGATAATGGCAGAAATACAGGAGGCATAGTGTCATTTATGAATACTGAATTTATACAATGTTTGCATTCATAGAGACATTTGGAAAATAAGCACAATAAAGTTCAAACAGACAATTTCAGAAATGACAAAAAAAGTTCAGAAATACAGTTAAAATAAGTTATGTGAAACTAAAAGCATATTTCGCTGTATTTTGTCAGGTGCATACTACAGTAACAATTACATAAATGAAGCAAATAAGTGAATCCTTTATAATTGAAGTACAATTTCAACTTGAAGCATCCGCGATTCGTTACTTGCACCCGGAACTGTATTTAGAAAGAGATGGTTCTTTTTTTACGGCTGCCCTGGTAAAAACAGACAGTCACATGTGTTTGTTTTTAAAACTGTGCTTCAGTTATAAAGGATTCACTTATTTGCTTCATTTTTATGTAATTGTTACTGTAGAATGCACCTAACGAGATACAGCGAAATATGCCAGGCAATAAATTGTGCAGTCTATTGTTTGTGTCTTCTTTGTTCACATGGAGATTTGGTGAGACAAGAGTGCAGACATTACTCACAAGCTGAGGCCCCTCGTTCTGTGGCTTGAAATCGTCTGGGTGATAAAAGTAAGTTGTGCCTCCAACACTCTCCTAAAACAGATAAGTACTTACAACAATACAACTCACTCAAACACTAACAACTTGTTACAATTGGACAGTTGCTTACAACAATTTACAGCTCAGACCAGTGATTCCCAAACTGTGCACCGCGGCCATGACCTCTTTACAGGGGCGCCACAAAATATTCAGATACACAAGTTTTTTTTTTAAATCTCTTACATATGAATAGTCATACTTTTACTGAGGTTAGGTTGCCGTGGAGACATTTTTATTGAAAAAAGGCACTGCAACAAAGGAGAGTTTAGGAAACACTGGTTTAGACCCTTTCAGACTGTAAAGGCTAAACACAAACTGGTCAAGGAAACGTGAATTCCCAGCAAAAAATCCTGGACAAATATTTAAAGTGTGGAAACCACTAAACAACCAAATTTCACAATTTACACACTTTGAATTTTTGTTTAGTGCTTACATGACAGTTCAAGAATTAAGTCTTCAGCTAGTGCAGCTGGCAGCAGTGTAGACTATAAGTATGCAAGTAGCTCTAGTGCTGTACAGATCTAGATAGACATAGGCAGTGTCACAGAGAACAAGTGCCGGACCACAGACTTTGATCAGGCTCTTAAGACCAGCATGGTTTGGTCAGGAGGCTGCAGTGTAGTCTAAGTGTATGAGAGGCTTTGGGTCGGTGATCAGTAACTCTGAGATGAGAAACCATGATATGGAAGTCAACAAGAAAGGATGAGTCTTCTCTGACTGGATAGCAGCCACAGCGAGGTGCAAGGACCTTTGGATAGTGATGAGTTTGGTCCAACCTTGTGTCCTGCCATAGAGCCTAATCAACTGTTGGACTGTTTTATCTAAAAATCGTTATTGGTTGTGATGGCAAAAGTGAATAAACAAAGGATGCATCAGTACTGGAATGGTGTCACTCTTGAGTCTCCTGGCTAAAATGGGAAACAATGGGAATGTTGTCTACAGTATCACTCTTGAGTCTCCTGGCTAAAATGGGGAACAATGGGAATGTTGTCTAAAGTATCACTCTTGAGTCTCCTGGCTAAAATGGGGAACAATGGGAATGTTGTCTAAAGTATCACTCTTGAATCTCCTGGCTAAAATGGGGAATAATGGGAATGTTGTCTACAGTATCACTCTTGAGTCTCCTGGCTAAAATGGGGAACAATGGGAATGTTGTCTAAAGTATCACTCTTGAATCTCCTGGCTAAAATGGGGAATAATGGGAATGTTGTCTACAGTATCACTCTTGAGTCTCCTTGCTAAAATGGGGAATAATGGGAATGTTGTCTACAGTATCACTCTTGAATCTCCTGGCTAAAATGGGGAATAATGGGAATGTTGTCTAAAGTATCACTCTTGAGTCTCCTTGCTAAAATGGGGAATAATGGGAATGTTGTCTACAGTATCACTCTTGAATCTCCTGGCTAAAATGGGGAATAATGGGAATGTTGTCTAAAGTATCACTCTTGAGTCTCCTTGCTAAAATGGGGAACAATGGGAATGTTGTCTAAAGTATCACTCTTGAATCTCCTGGCTAAAATGGGGAATAATGGGAATGTTGTCTACAGTATCACTCTGGTTCTCCTTGCTATCATGTGGAATAATGGGAATGTTGTCTACAGTATCAATCTTGAGTCTCCTTGCTATCATGTGGAATAATGGGAATGTTGTCTACAGTATCAATCTTGAGTCTCCTTGCTATCATGTGGAATAATGGGAATGTTGTCTACAGTATCACTCTTGAGTCTCCTGGCTAAAATGGGGAATATTGGGAATGTTGTCTAAAGTATCACTCTTGAGTCTCCTTGCTATCATGTGGAATAATGGGAATGTTGTCTACAGTATCACTCTTGAGTCTCCTTGCTAAAATGTGCAACAATGGGAATGTTGTCTACAGTATCACTCTTGAGTCTCCTGGCTAAAATGGGGAACAATGGGAATGTTGTCTAAAGTATCACTCTTGAATCTCCTTGCTATCATGTGGAATAATGGGAATGTTGTCTACAGTATCACTCTTGAGTCTCCTGGCTAAAATGGGGAATAATGGGAATGTTGTCTAAAGTATCACTCTTGAGTCTCCTGGCTAAAATGGGGAACAATGGGAATGTTGTCTAAAGTATCACTCTTGAATCTCCTGGCTAAAATGTGGAACAATGGGAATGTTGTCTACAGTATCACTCTTGAGTCTCCTCGCTAAAATGGGGAACAATGGGAATGTTGTCTACAGTATCACTCTTGAGTCTCCTGGCTAAAATGGGGAATAATGGGAATGTCTACAGTATCACTCTAGTTCTCCTTGCTATCATGTGGAATAATGGGAATGTTGTCTACAGTATCACTCTTGAGTCTCCTTGCTATCATGTGGAATAATGGGAATGTTGTCTACAGTATCAATCTTGAGTCTCCTTGCTATCATGTGGAATAATGGGAATGTTGTCTACAGTATCAATCTTGAGTCTCCTTGCTATCATGTGGAATAATGGGAATGTTGTCTCCAATATCACACTGGGTCTCCTGGCTATAAGGGGGAATAATGGGAATGTTGTCTACAATATCACTCTGGGTCTCCTGGCTATAAAGGGGAATAACAGGAATGTTGTCTACAATATAACCCTGGGTCTCCTGGCTATCATAGGGAATAATAGGAATGTTGTCTACAATATCACTCTAGGTTTCTTGGATATCATAGGGAATAATGGGAATGTTGTCTACAATATCACTCTAGGTTTCTTGGATATCATAGGGAATAATGGGAATGTTGTCTACAATATCACTCTGGGTGTCCTGGCTATCATGGGAACACCAGTCGTCTGGTGACGGTCATCCTGTGACTGCTCATTAATTATGTGCTAAGACACCACCTCTGACCAGGGAGTCAGTATCATAAACACCTCCACCACTGTGGAATCTCTACACTGTGGTACATTTCCTGTATCCCAATCAACAGTTCACTTGAGACCTCCTGATGCTCACATTTGATTACAGACATGTTCAAACTGATCATCCAGATTGTCACCTCTCTGTCTCAGCCTTGATATATCTTCCTGTGAAATATGCCAGTTGTCACAAAACTGTCATGTTAGAGTGTCCTCAAAGATGCCCACATATTCTGGACTCTCTCTTATTTTCCTAATCAATTGACAGGTCTTTAGTTTTCTGAAGGACTTCCTTGTTTGCTTGTCTGTCCATCCATGGTATTCTTTGCATTTTCCTCAGAAACCTACTTCAGTCTTCCATGATTCACTTCAATGCCCATTTACCTTCCCTCATTTCCCCTCAGTCTATCAATCTCCTCAGTTTCTAAGTATCCTCTACATTTGTTATCTCACACTGGCCTCTCAGCCCCTATACATCCCCTGTCCTCTACATCAGTAGTGTCCAACCTGGAAGGGACTGCCCTCTCAGCCCCTATACATCCCCTGTCCTCTACATCAGTAGTGTCCAACCTGGAAGGGACTGCCCTCTCAGCCCCTATACATCCCCTGTCCTCTACATCAGTAGTGTCCAACCTGGAAGGGACTGCCCTCTCAGCCCCTGTACATCCCCTGTTCTCTACATCAGTAGTCTCCTGCCTGGAAGGGACTGCCCTCTCAGCCCCGGTACATCCCCTGTTCTCTATATCAGTAGTCTCCTGCCTGGAAGGGACTGCCCTCTCAGCCCCTGTACATCCCCTGTTCTCTACATCAGTAGTCTCCTGCCTGGAAGGGACTGCCCTCTCAGCCCCGGTACATCCCCTGTTCTCTACATCAGTAGTCTCCTGCCTGGAAGGGACTGCCCTCTCAGCCCCTGTACATCCCCTGTTCTCTACATCAGTAGTCTCCTGCCTGGAAGGGACTGCCCTCTCAGCCCCTGTACATCCCCTGTTCTCTACATCAGCAGTCTCCAACCTGGAAGAAGGCTGGACTCTCAGCCCCTGTACATCCCCAGTCCTCTACATCAGTAGTCTCCAACCTGGAAGAGGACTAGCCTCTCAGCCCCTGTCCTCTACATCAGTAGTCTCCAACCTGGAAGGCACTGGACTCTCAGCCCCTGTACATCCCCTGTCCTCTACATCAGTAGTCTCCAACCTGGAAGAGGACTAGCCTCTCAGCCCCTGTACATACCCAGTCATCAACATCAGTAATCTCCAACCTGGAAGGGGGGAGGGGTGTGTATGCGTGTGTGTTAGCGGAATTTTCCATTGAAAAAAAAAGGGGAAGGGGGGGGGAATTTTGCAACTAAATCCATTTGTACTTGTGATACAGATTTTCAGTTTTAACACGAAAACAAAACAGCATTGCCAGCTTCATGTGGAGAGTGGTTTCTGTTTCAAATATCTGATCTAAAACAGCTGATATCAAGACAAAACAGTGCCGCCCAATATACTGACAATAATCAGACACTAAATTACCAGTTGTTGGTGATTGTTTTTTTTACTTTTGACATTGATTTCTACAAGTTCGTGTTTACCGTTTTGAATGTGTTTTTTTTATTTTTTGGGGTCCTCCTCTTTTAAATCACATTTTGTTATATTCCGGTGGAAGGGGGGGAGCTGGTCTTCCCATATACTCAAAGAGGTGTCACCTGAAAAGTTTGGAGACTACAGCTCAAAGTCCATAAATGACCTTTCAGCCTTTCTATATCCTCTCACTGTGTCAATGTCCCCTCTACATTCCCTGAAAACATTATATAACGTACCATTGTCATTCTCTGAAACCCCACTTACCTGAACAAGACTGGAAGAGGCCGACTTATGTGGAATAGTCACCTGGCGAAGTGAGGGCAGATTGGGGGACTGTAGCCGGCGACCAGACAACGGTGAGTTGACCGGTGAAATATGAGGGCTGTGGACAGGACTGACTGCAGATGTGTAGACCAGACCTTGGAGTGGCAACAATTTTGGTTTCTTTACTGACAAGTTACATCAATGTACGAGATTTCTTTATCCTCGCAACAGACAACAGAAAATTACAAATAAGATTAATTTATTTTAAGTATAAATTACGGTTAATTTACATGCTTTATGATTATAACATAAGTTGTATGGTGACTGCATCTAAAACTGAGAATGTGAATTAAAGTTGTGTGAAGATACTAAACACAAAACAGACTGCAAAACAATAGATAGCTGAGGATATTAAACATAAACTAACTTGTACATTGGAGTTACATCAGGATTCCAAGCAAAAACTAAGACTGTAAACAAAAGGTAAATGAGGATATTAAACATAAACTGAGACTATAAAAAAAACTTAAATGAGGATATTAAAGACAAACTGAGACTATAAGCAAAACTTAAATGAGGATATTAAACATAAACTGAGACTATAAACAAAACTTAAATGAGGATATTAAACATAAACTGAGACTATAAACAAAAGTTAAATGAGGATATTAAATACAAACTGGGACTATAAACAAAACTTAAATGAGGATATTAAACATGAACTGAGACTAAACAAAAGATAAATGAGGATATTAAACATAAACTGAGACTATAAACAAAACTTAAATGAGGATATTAAACACAAACTGAGACTATAAACAAAACTTAAATGAGGATATTAAATACAAACTGAGACTATAAACAAAACTTAAATGAGGATATTAAACATGAACTGAGACTAAACAAAAGATAAATGAGGATATTAAACATAAACTGAGACTATAAACAAAACTTAAATGAGGATATTAAACACAAACTGAGACTATAAACAAAACTTAAATGAGGATATTAAATACAAACTGAGACTATAAACAAAACTTAAATGAGGATATTAAACATGAACTGAGACTAAACAAAAGATAAATGAGGATATTAAACATAAACTGAGACTATAAACAAAACTTAAATGAGGATATTAAACACAAACTGAGACTATAAACAAAACTTAAATGAGGATATTAAACATAAACTGAGACTATAAACAAAAGTTAAATGAGGATATTAAACACAAACTGAGACTATAAAAAAAAAACTTAAATGAGGATATTAAATACAAACTGAGACTAAACAAAAGATAAATGAGGATATTAAACATAAACTGAGACTGTAAACAAAAGTTAAATGAGGATATTAAACACAAACTGAGACTATAAACAAAACTTAAATGAGGATATTAAACATAAACTGAGACTGCAAACAAAAGATAAATGAGGATATTAAACATAAACTAACTTGTACACTAGAGTTACATGAGGAGACTGGATAAACAAATTAACTTTACTTTCAAAGGGTCACAAATTGGGCACGCAGACCCGTCTTACATTCGGCCCTTCCAAACACACATCTTTCACACAGCAGTTGTACTTTATCAATAAAGCATGTTACGTTTATATAATAAGACTATCAAATAAAGTTTTATGAGGACAATAGACATATATTAACATGCACAGTAGAGCTATATAGGGAGACTCAAAAACTAAGACAATCAACTAAAGTCATATGGAGATACTAAACAAAACAATAAAATGTACAACAGGTAACTGAAGAAAACCTAAGTAATATGAATAAAAGCCTCAACAGTAAATATACAACAAATGACATGATCAACAATCAATAAAACAATGAATGATAAATTGACATGATCAACAATCAATAAAACAATGAATGATAAATTCATTTTTTAAAACATACGACACAGTGGACAACAGTTAATAATTCTTCATTGTTTGTCCGAGTGGCTTAAATGCGTTGCAACTGTTTACAGCATAGCTGCAAGGATTGCATCTTTGACATCTGACTTCCTGATTAGTTTCGCAGGACATGTGAAGCCTGTGGTGACTTCATCATCACCCGATCCACAGGCTTTGTCCCTACAGGTTCTCGTCTAGTGCCGTTGTAGGCAGGGTGAGGGTTGACCCTCAAGAGAAGGCAGAGGCATAGCATAGACATTCCCTGCCATCCAAAGAGGGTTCCATAAATGCAGAGCCGTTGCATGGCATTCTGGTCCTGGGTTCAGCCCAGGAATACTCCAATCTTGCATATGTTTGCTTAACCTCACATCCATGTGTTGAGCCTTTTACTCATTATGGGCTCCTAGAGAAGCAATATGCGAGACTCCTCTCACTGACGACGGCACCTTTCATGTGGATGTCTCAGGGCAATGTTTACAGCATTTATGGAAAGCATGCATTAGGCATGACCTTTTGTTTCATCAAGGATGATCTCTGAGCGAGGAACAGCAGAATTTTTGCTGCCATACAGAAGGACACTCGAAGGACGAACATTTGAACCAAAGCAGTCATACAGTTAGAGATCCGGTCCGGAGATGTTTGAACCAACCATATCTGAGGATTTTCGGACGACATATGTGTGAATCTAAGTTCGTAATTTAATGAGGTACTCCTCCCACGGACTTCACTCATGTTCCAAATGAGTTTTCCATGTAGGTTATCACCCATGCACAGGGGAAAGTTGGGGGGGGGGGGGGGGGCCACAAAATCTTTGAAGCCCTGTCAGCTTGGTTTAGGCTGATATAGGCAATTATTCATGGTACACATCAAGGAAGTGTGGCAGGAGTCTTGCCTGGGGATCTTTAAATATGGTAGGAGTCTTGTCTGAGAATCTCTAAATGTGGCAGGAGTCTTGCCTGGGGATCTCTAAATGTGGTAGGAGTCTTGCCTGGGGATCTCTAAATGTGGCAGGAGTCTTGTCTGAGAATCTCTAAATGTGGTAGGAGTCTTGTCTGAGAATCTCTAAATGTGGTAGAAGTCTTGTCTGAGAATCTCTAAATGTGGCAGGAGTCTTGCCTGGGGATCTCTAAATGTGGTAGGAGTCTTGCCTGGGGATCTCTAAATGTGGTAGGAGTCTTGTCTGAGAATCTCTAAATGTGGCAGGAGTCTTGCCTGGGAATCTCTAAATGTGTTAGGAGTCTTGTCTGAGGATCTCTAAATGTGGCAGGAGTCTTGTCTGAGAATCTCTAAATGTGGCAGGAGTCTTGTCTGAGAATCTCTAAATGTGGTAGGAGTCTTGTCTGAGGATCTCTAAATGTGGCAGGAGTCTTGTCTGAGAATATCTAAATGTGGTAGGAGTCTTGCCTGTGGATCTTTAAATGTGGCAGGAGTCTTGCCTGGGGATCTCTAAATGTGGCAGGAGTCTTGTCTGAGAATCTCTAAATGTGGCAGGAGTCTGGCCTGAGGATCTCTAAATGTGGTAGGAGTCTTGTCTGAGAATCTCTAAATGTGGCAGAAGTCTTGTCTGAGGATCTCTAAATGTGGCAGGAGTCTTGACTGAGAATCTCTAAATGTGGCAGTAGTCTTGTCTGAGAATCTCTAAATGTGGTACGAGTCTTGTCTGAGAATCTCTAAATATGGTAGGAGTCTTGACTGAGAATCTCTAAATGTGGCAGGAGTCTTGCCTGGGGATCTCTAAATGTGGTAGGAGTCTTGTCTGAGGATCTCTAAATGTGGCAGGAGTCTTGTCTGAGAATCTCTAAATGTGGTAGGAGTCTTGTCTGAGAATCTCTAAATGTGGCAGGAGTCTTGTCTGAGGATCTCTAATTGTGGTAGGAGTCTTGACTGAGAATCTCTAAATGTGGCAGGAGTCTTGCCTGAGAATCTCTAAATGTGGTAGGAGTCTTGTCTGAGAATCTCTAAATGTGGTAGGAGTCTTGTCTGAGAATCTCTAAATGTGGCAGGAGTCTTGACTGAGAATCTCTAAATGTGGCAGGAGTCTTGTCTGAGAATCTCTAAATGTGGTAGGAGTCTTGTCTGAGAATCTCTAAATGTGGCAGGAGTCTTGACTGAGAATCTCTAAATGTGGCAGGAGTCTTGTCTGAGGATCTCTAAATGTGGTAGGAGTCTTGTCTGAGAATCTCTAAATGTGGCAGGAGTCGTGACTGAGAATCTCTAAATGTGGCAGGAGTCTTGTCTGAGAATCTCTAAATGTGGCAGGAGTCTTGCCTGAGGATCTCTAAATGTGGTAGGAGTCTTGTCTGAGAATCTCTAAATGTGGTAGGAGTCTTGACTGAGAATCTCTAAATGTGGTAGGAGTCTTGTCTGAGAATCTCTAAATGTGGCAGGAGTCTTGTCTGAGAATCTCTAAATGTGGCAGGAGTCTTGCCTGGGGATCTCTAAATGTGGTAGGAGTCTTGCCTGGGGATCTCTAAATGTGGCAGGAGTCTTGTCTGAGAATCTCTAAATGTGGTAGGAGTCTTGTCTGAGAATCTCTAAATGTGGTAGAAGTCTTGTCTGAGAATCTCTAAATGTGGCAGGAGTCTTGCCTGGGGATCTCTAAATGTGGTAGGAGTCTTGCCTGGGGATCTCTAAATGTGGTAGGAGTCTTGTCTGAGAATCTCTAAATGTGGCAGGAGTCTTGCCTGGGAATCTCTAAATGTGTTAGGAGTCTTGTCTGAGGATCTCTAAATGTAGCAGGAGTCTTGTCTGAGAATCTCTAAATGTGGCAGGAGTCTTGTCTGAGAATCTCTAAATGTGGTAGGAGTCTTGTCTGAGGATCTCTAAATGTGGCAGGAGTCTTGTCTGAGAATATCTAAATGTGGTAGGAGTCTTGCCTGTGGATCTTTAAATGTGGCAGGAGTCTTGCCTGGGGATCTCTAAATGTGGCAGGAGTCTTGTCTGAGAATCTCTAAATGTGGCAGGAGTCTGGCCTGAGGATCTCTAAATGTGGTAGGCGTCTTGTCTGAGAATCTCTAAATGTGGCAGGAGTCTTGTCTGAGGATCTCTAAATGTGGCAGGAGTCTTGACTGAGAATCTCTAAATGTGGCAGTAGTCTTGTCTGAGAATCTCTAAATGTGGTACGAGTCTTGTCTGAGAATCTCTAAATATGGTAGGAGTCTTGACTGAGAATCTCTAAATGTGGCAGGAGTCTTGCCTGGGGATCTCTAAATGTGGTAGGAGTCTTGTCTGAGGATCTCTAAATGTGGCAGGAGTCTTGTCTGAGAATCTCTAAATGTGGCAGGAGTCTTGTCTGAGAATCTCTAAATGTGGCAGGAGTCTTGTCTGAGGATCTCTAAATGTGGTAGGAGTCTTGACTGAGAATCTCTAAATGTGGCAGGAGTCTTGCCTGAGAATCTCTAAATGTGGCAGGAGTCTTGACTGAGAATCTCTAAATGTGGCAGGAGTCTTGTCTGAGAATCTCTAAATGTGGTAGGAGTCTTGTCTGAGAATCTCTAAATGTGGCAGGAGTCTTGACTGAGAATCTCTAAATGTGGCAGGAGTCTTGTCTGAGGATCTCTAAATGTGGTAGGAGTCTTGTCTGAGAATCTCTAAATGTGGCAGGAGTCGTGACTGAGAATCTCTAAATGTGGCAGGAGTCTTGTCTGAGAATCTCTAAATGTGGCAGGAGTCTTGCCTGAGGATCTCTAAATGTGGTAGGAGTCTTGTCTGAGAATCTCTAAATGTGGTAGGAGTCTTGTCTGAGAATCTCTAAATGTGGTAGGAGTCTTGTCTGAGAATCTCTAAATGTGGCAGGAGTCTTGTCTGAGAATCTCTAAATGTGGTAGGAGTCTTGTCTGAGAATCTCTAAATGTGGCAGGAGTCTTGTCTGAGGATCTCTAAATGTGGTAGGAGTCTTGTCTGAGAATCTCTAAATGTGGCAGGAGTCTTGACTGAGAATCTCCAAATGTGGCAGGAGTCTTGTCTGAGAATCTCTAAATGTGGCAGGAGTCTTGCCTGAGGATCTCTAAATGTGGTAGGAGTCTTGTCTGAGAATCTCTAAATGTGGTAGGAGTCTTGTCTGAGAATCTCTAAATGTGGTAGGAGTCTTGTCTGAGAATCTCTAAATGTGGTAGGAGTCTTGACTGAGAATCTCTAAATGTGGCAGGAGTCTTGTCTGAGCATCTCTAAATGTGGTAGGAGTCTTGTCTGAGAATCTCTAAATGTGGCAGGAGTCTTGCCTGAGAATCTCTAAATGTGGCAAGAGTCTTGCCTGAGAATCTATAAAACCAGCACAGAGCCTGCTGGTGCGTGAGGTTAGGTACAGAGTATCTAGTTATACAAACCACAATGGCCTGAACATTCCATCACGCCTGCCACTGAAATCACCACAACACCAACAGGTAATCAAAATACAAAAACAGCAGTTGACACAATGAACAGACACACCGTAACACAATCAGCATCTGATACCACAGAGAAGACTTGATACAATAAACATCTGACACCATAAACAACACTTAGCATAGCAAACGCCAGGTACCATAAATATTATGCAATAAACATGTGACATCATAAACAACACTCAACTTAGTAAACATATGACACCACAAACAACACTCAAAGCAGTAAACACATGGCACCACAAACAACACTCAACTCAGTAAACATATGACACCACAAACAACACTAAAGTCAGTAAACATCTGATACCATAAATAAAAATAATGTGACAAACACATGATGCAATAAACACTTGACACAATAAACTCATGATGCAATAAACACTTGACACAATAAACACATGATGCAATAAACACTTGACACAATAAACACATGAACCATAAACAACAATGCAGTAAACACATGACACCACAAACAACACTAAATGGAGTAAACTAATGACACCATAAATAACACAGACACAATAAAGAAAAGTAAAGTATTCACCATTGGTGGACACAGGGTTGGCGGAGACTGGTGCAGAGCTCTGAAGGTTGGGACCAAACATACTGACAGGGTTTGGTGCGGCCGCTGACACATTCTGTGGAGAAGCACCGAAAACGGGTGCCAGGTTGTGGGCACCCGGGGTGGAACCCAGGGGTCCATGAGGACCTGGGTGGAACAATGAGTTATGAGTTGGTGCGCTGGTAGGTGGTAATGGTGAGGGGTTGGCGATGCCCTGGTGGAACAATGAGTTGTGCACTGATGCGCCGGAGGCTGGCAATGCTGTGGAGTTTGGAATAAAATGTCCTGAATTTGCCACCGTTGTCACTGGGCTTTGGCCAAACATGGAGGCATAGGAGGCGAATGATGATGTGCTTGAGCTGTGAGGCAAACCAGGAGACTTGGGTTCAAACTCAGTCATAATATTATGGCCCTGTCAAGACAAAACAACAGTAACCTTAGAATATAATCTGTATAAATGTAAGTTATAAAGTTGTCTGAACAATCGCTGATATCAAGTTATAATAGAAAGAGATGATAATCAATTAGGCACATTAGACACATGATTCAAAGAGTCACAGAAATGGGAAACAAATGGATTAAAACTTTCACCCCACAAATGTTTCAGAGTAAAATGGATCAAAAATCAATGGAAATTCCCCCAAACCAAACATAAAATTTCCAGTTACCATTTTTTTTATATATAGTAAATTTGACATCAACACTGCTTTAAAAAGCCATCTGGTTCAGAAATAACCTCTTCTAACTCACTATAATTCTAAGTAGTAATTTGGTGACATGATATTAATATATATGTATATATATATACACACACACACATGCGCGCGCGCACACACACACACACACACACACATTACAGGGCCTCCTAAGTGATGCGCAGGTGTGAACAGAACCAATGACATTAAACTGCTTTTCAGAAAAAAAGAATCAACATAATGAAAACTAGTTAATTAAACATATAATTATATTCATGCAAGCTACAAAACAACTGAGACCCAGGTTTGAATCCTTGGTAATGTTTCTGGGATTTTTCAGTCGCAGGCAAAAATAGAATCCCAACTGCAGCACAGTCTATGGTGACAGCACCAGCCATGCGGCCTTAAATCCTTGGACACAAAGACTCCCCCCTCCCCCGTTTACACCCCAGAAGTGGTCAAACAGGCCCTAGTAACAATTTGGTTTTTTTGTATTTGTATTGTACAAAAGCAAGTGAAGCCTGTTTCAAACTCTTTGAGTCAATTATGGGTTTGAGGTAAAGTCAAGTAAAACTTGCTTACACACCTTGGGGCATTGAATGGCATATGGTTTCCCTGAGTGGGGTCTGGGGCCTCAACTTGGTGGGTGGGGGGATAGACCCACTGCCCCCCTCACAAACATGTTTTAAAAGCTGACTAAGTAGGGGCCTTTCCTTCACTCTACACCTATGCTACTACCACTGCCTCTACCTGTCCGCTGGCGAATAACATAGTAAATGCTAAAGTTGTAACACAAATCTTAAATTAGTATATTTTCAGGTGGAAGTAGACAGCGGAACCCACCAAAGGCCACCCGACGCTCTGAAGCAGCTAGCCAAGGGCATTGCACCAAAGGGGACCAGCACCAGGGAATTCCTGTCTAACTTAATGTATCTAAAACAATGCCTTTCAGTCCTATTTCAGACCCTGCCAAATACCAGCATGAAGGCCTAAATGATTACAAAAAATTTAATTAACATTCTTTCAGGCAGAAGTTGACAACGGAAACCACCAAAGGCCCCCCGACGTTCTGAAGCAGACTGCTGAAGACATTGCACCAAAGGGGACCAGCACTCGGTAACTCCAGACTCTCTTAAACTACCCCCCCCCCCCCCCCCCCCCCAATCACATGAACATTAACAATGCCTCTAGTTTTATTTCAGGCCACTGGATCTCAACCCACGAGAAGTTCCAGCGACGAGAAGCCACATCTCTCAATCAATCTGTCACTCTCATTCTCCCGACCTAACTATCACATCTCCTGGCACATTCGAGCAAATTTGATCTTTCATTTGCAGTCTATCTTACCTCCACTACTTCTCCACACTCCAAGGGAAAAAAAAAAAAAAAACGGCTGATCACAACAACAGATTGTGACGGCCCTGGTTGTCCTGAAAAGGAACATTGTATATAGGCGTTATGACCTGGTGTTTGTTTGGCCTTTTCCGGCAGCTTCAGATCGGCAGCCAAGCAGCAACAGGGCACCAGCACAGCGACCAGCACGAGGCAAGCCAAGCACCAGCAACAGTCAGCTAGTACCCGTCGATATCATCGCAAAGAGATCTGGATCACACCAGAACCAAAAACCATAATCACCGCAGCACAGCAAGGAAGCAAACAACCGTAATATCAGGTGTGACCACACACCACAAATAAAAGGAAACCATATAAGACAGCTAAGGACCTTTCTTCGATATAGCAGGCCTCCGGGCGGCTGAAAAAGGATCAAATTTGGAATTTTTGTTGGACGAATTGGAATTGGCCTTTCCTTCAAAGTTGGACTGCATCTGCCTGAAAGTTGAGGATGCAAGGGTTAGGACTAGGACTCTTGTCACAGGAGTTCTCACCTTGTCATGCAAGGGTTAGGACTAGGACTCTTGTCACAGGGGTTCTCACCTTGTCATGCAAGGGTCAGGACTAGGACTCTTGTCACAGGGGTTCTCACCTTGTTATGCAAGGGTCCAACTGCCAAGTTAAGAGCTGCAAAATCATCAGGCATCTGGTCCATGCCAGAAGTAGAACCGAACTGCTTTGCTGCGACGGGATGTAGAGTGCCCATGCTACTCCTGGGCCGGGGACCTCCTCTCTATAAACATGATAAGAAGATAGAAAGCAAGGTGAGTGTATATGGTCCTTGTCTTGACAATAGTAACTGCCTCCGACCTTCCACAGGAAGGAATGATTCTGGGGCCCATCTTAACTCTGTCAGTACCTACCAACTTATGATGCACTTGTAAGGCTCTACTAAAATCAAATACTTGTCTCAACCATTGGTTCCCTGTCAAGCAGCAGTTTAACCCATTCTGGCCCAATAGTTGATTTCAATACTTGTCCCCTCTGTGTATTATTATTTTATCTTCTTCAGGCACAAACATTTATCAGTTAACATAAGAACATCTTTGCATACAAGTTTAATTAAAATCTAACGCCCACACTCCAACTCTCTCTCCATACCAAATCTGGTGCAATATTTCCCACTGTCTCCATTCCACTAATGAAAACCCAACACATGCACACAGACAAACACAAGCATAATATCTTGAATGACATAAGCTATTCTCTCGCTCGTTCTCTCTCTATACCTCTCTGAATAACCCCTCTGCACAAACTTAGAATCAGCTGTTTTCCCTACTAAAATAGAGGCACACAAAAACACAAGATCTTTTATAGCATTGACTGTTTCTACTAAAGCCGAATTTGAAAAGAAAAAAAAAACATTCAATGGTGCTTTACTAAAAAAAAAAAACCCAATAGCTAGTGAATGGAACATAATTTTGTCATAATTTCGGCATTCAAAATCTTTGTAATTTAATGAGTGAAAACTGTTCAAATTGCAAATAAGAATATATTATGGTTCAACCAATTGATTGACAGTTCTTCTACATCTAAGTCAGCAATAGTTTTTAGGCGTTTTGGCTTTCCCACTTTTTTTAGTATATAAAATACACACATAAGATCTTTGATAACATCGGCTGTTCCCACTTGTATAAAAACACACACATGAGATCTTTGATAACATCGGCTGTTCCCACTTGTATAAAAACACACACATGAGATCTTTGATAACATCGGCTGTTCCCACTTGTATAAAAACACACACATGAGATCTTTAATAACATCGGCTGTTCCCACTTGTATAAAAACACACACATAAGATCTTTGATAACATCGCCTGTTCCCACTTGTATAAAAACACACACATGAGATCTTTGATAACATCGGCTGTTCCCACTTGAATAAAAACACACACAAAGATCTTTGATAACATCGGCTGTTCCCAGTTGTATAAAAACACACACAAGATCTTTGATAACATCGGCTGTTCCCACTTGTATAAAAACACACACATAAGATCTTTGATAACATCAGCTGTTCCCAGTTGTATAAAAACACACACATAAGATCTTTGATATCGGCTGTTCCCACTTATATAAAAACACACACACATAAGATCTTTGATAACATCGGCTGTTCCCACTTATATAAAAACACACACATGAGATCTGTGATAACATCGGCTGTTCCCACTTGTATAAAAACACACACATGAGATCTTTGATAACATCGGCTGTTCCCAGTTGTATAAAAACACACACATGAGATCTTTGATAACATCGGCTGTTCCCACTTATATAAAAACACACACACATAAGATCTTTGATAACATCGGCTGTTCCCACTTATATAAAAACACACACATGAGATCTTTGATAACATTGGCTGTTCCCAGTTGTATAAAAACACACACATGAGATCTTCGATAACATCGGCTGTTCCCACTTATATAAAAACACACACACATAAGATCTTTGATAACATCGGCTGTTCCCACTTATATAAAAACACACACATGAGATCTTTGATAACATTGGCTGTTCCCAGTTGTATAAAAACACACACATGAGATCTTTGATAACATTGGCTGTTCCCACTTGTATAAAAACACACACATAAGATCTTTGATAACATCGGCTGTTCCCAGTTGTATAAAAACACACACATGAGATCTTTGATAACATTGGCTGTTCCCACTTGTATAAAAACACACACATAAGATCTTTGATAACATCGGCTGTTCCCAGTTGTATAAAAACACACACATGATCTGTGATATCTTCAGCTGTTCCCACTTGTATAAAAACACACACATGAGATCTTTGATATCTTCAGGATCACTGAATGAACACAGAACACCAGACTTGTACTTACAAATGGAGGGAAATCTTGTATGCCCAATGCATTAAAGGTGGCACTGAAATACTGGTCTCCATTGGTACCCATTGAATCCCCCGGAGTCACTGCAAAATTATGACACAAACAACACATTCAGATTGATAGTGGTGAGTCACCAACCAATGGGTGGCAACTAAAAATATTTCAAATAACTCATTCTTCTTCTTCTGAGCATTAACCAGCTGTAAACTCCACACACACAGAAACAAGTTTCAGTTGTTTGTCTACCTCTGGAGTTTGGTCTTGTTCCAGAACTTGTTTTGTGTGCACACCTATTTTACACATCTGGCTTATTATCTATATGCAGACTGTTGGTCAATCATCTTTCAGGCACATGTACTCTAACTTGAAAGGAAAGACCCCTAATTAGAAACCTTTTAAGACATACTTGTTAGGAGGGCAGTGGGCTTATACACCAAATGGTGCCCCGGAACACAAACGGGGATGACAATTATTTACTGACTTAAGAATCAACATAACAGCACACTGGGCATACCCAATGGTGCTCCGTCTCCCACAGCAAATGTCTTAAGATGTAAATAATAACTGTCCCAGTAGCGCGCTGATTATACACTCTTCATTCTCTTCCTCTCATACACCTCTCCTTGCTGGATCCACACCTAACTTCACGTTCACACATTCTTACATTTTATTTCATCTAACCTTGTGTCTTCTGTCAGCATTAGTTCACAACTGGTCTTCAAAATGCCCCCTTTGTCCAGTAAGAGTGTTCCTGCAGCTAAAACTTTTGTATCCACAAAATCTGATCTGTCAAGGCAATCAGACCTTGGGCAACTCTGTAGCTGAGAGGTTAGTGACTGTGTTTAACAGTTTCATGGGTTACTTGGGTTTGATTTCCACGATGGACGGTGGTTGAAAATAAAGTTCTCATGGTTTTCGGACAGCAGTATGAGAGTTACACCATGGAGGAAACTGGGAAATACCTCAGCACACAATACTCCCAAACAGACAGCAGTGGGTGCACTGTAACCAACCTTCAGTGTGGAGGTGGCCCACACCTGGGCTGGTGATGTTACCTCCTCAGGTATCAAGTGTTTCCTGATCAACAGACTCTGACCCAATGACAGGACAGAGCTGAGGACATCAACAATTTGGTGCAAATTGAGAAGAGACAGAGAGGGGGAATGGGCACTGGATGGGGAGGATAAGTGGGAGGGGGAAAAAGAGAGAGGACAAGGGAAGGAGAGGGAGAAGGGTGGGGATGATGGAGGGCAAGGAAAGAAAGATGAAGAAAGGGGTGTGGAGAATATGAATCAACAAACAGACAAACTTCATTTTCAAAGGGTCACAAACTAGATATGCAGGCCCATCTGACATTCAGCCCTTCCAAATAGCCACCTTTCCCGCACTTTATCAATAAAGAAGGTTATGTTCACAAAACAATATGCATAATATGATATCAAGGAAATAACACAAAAGCATGTATGATAAATGCATGCGCACACGCAGGCACACACTCATACATTTACTGACTCCTCACTCACATGCATACATACATAAATACATACACATGCACATATACTTACACATACATACATAGGCACAAACATTACATATATTCATAGACATGCACATATCTATCAATCCATATCTGATTACACATAAATACATATATACATACACACACAAGCACACATGTTTGTGTGAACACTAACACAAATACACACATAAGAATATTTACAGGGCATGTGACTAATGAAAAGAGAGAACAAGGAAGACGAGAGAAGGACACTGTCAGCTTTCTGTGATGGCATTGTCAGGTTTTGGTTGGGTACGTGTCTCATACCACAGAAGATCACTCATGCCATGGCAAGGCGTCAGTGGTTCTCAACCTATAGGTCATGAACTTTTGTGGGTCGTTTTGTGGCCGTTGCATTTTTGCTCCATTTGTAGACTGGAAGGATGTAGTTTCGTCGCCCAGCTTCTGAGTTGAGTGCATGGCGTGACACTGTGAGCTGCGTTTGTTTTGCGTTGGCACAGGAGCGGAGCATATGTGGGGTGACCCGTTTGCTATGAAGCTGAAACTAGGATTACCAGATTACCAGATTACTTATTCACAGAAATTATGAAGAAACAACTAAAATAATTGTTGAGTTCATCGCAAAATGAGGAACTGTATTAAAGGGTCGCAGCATTAGGCAGGTTGAGAACCAATGCGCTAGATGATGACATTAAATATATCGAGGGGCTGTTTTTAACTCCTTCAGTCCTAAGGAACACATATGTTCACTGGTTCCTACTTAGAAGCCCAATGAATGCAAGATGTGTCGATTTTACGTCTCTCTTTACTACCCCTTGGGCCTCTGATGCTAAGCCAACTGGGAAAGAGTTAACTGAGAACAGTATAATCATACCCTTGTCCACCCTGTATCAGTAATATTGTTAAAAAAAAAAAAAAATTTTATACTTACAGAATGACCATCTGTGCACTTCATGCAAACCTATAAGTAATCAGCCTCCTTGAGCAGATCATGTTAAATATTATAATCCTCAGTATCATAAGTAAATTACAGAAGCATTGTCTCAGATTATAAATGGTAACACAAGTACACTACAGACAATCTCATGGGTGCTCAGGCACCCTGATTAAATTTACTGTAACTTGTTCAGTTTCAGGTAACTTTGACTTAACTCAGTATACTCAAGGAGTTTTTAGTTTAAATTAATAAAAGCTTGGATTCAGGGCCAAAAATACTGATAAGGCATAATGTGTTAAAGATAAATGACTGTCTGCTTTCTTGTGTGTAATTGTATCTTTGTCACATGCTGAGGAAGGCTTTCTAGCCATAATGTTAATTTGTTTTTTGTGATATCGTGAAGCAAACTAGCTCTACTTCTCATTTGAACTGATATCTGTTGGTGTTGTCAGAACAAAAGATGATGGTATGTGTGTATTAAGCAATTATAATATGATGCAAATTTTAGTGCATGAGTTAGAAAATGTTGCTGCTCTTATGTTGACCCCACCTGCAGAAGCTGGCTAGTACTGCCTCAAAGATCCCCTATAAATATGCGTTACCTTCAATAATATGTTAGGCAATCCAACCTTAGGTTTTCTCCAGTTTTAATCAAACAATAAGCTCCCTACGCTTGCCCAGTGGGGCTAACAAAAAAACACCAGACCAATAAAACATTAAGGATGAAGCACTGCAACCTGCAACACAAAGAAGCTTGTAGTTTTCAACAGACAACAGACTGACAAAAACACACACCTTCTTGGACTTGTCCTCCAATTTGACCATTTCTAAATGCACCAACAGAATTATTACTTTGCTGCATGTTCAAATATTCCGGACTGAACTTAGAAAGGGCTCACTTCACAAGAACCATGTCATAAACAAGTGACGTCCTATTTCATCGCCTCATTTCTGCACCAGCTATTTACTGGCTGTTCGTGATAATACAACTGCACCGTAGGTCAAACTTCAAGCTCTTTATCGTGGCGCAAACTTAGTTTTCATTGCAGAAACTGCATCTGATGATAAAATCATCCTAGAGGAACTTTTCCAAGTCTGTTTTTGAGTTTTCATGTTCAGTGTTTGCTGAACGGGAATCTGACCGATTTCTTGCAGGTTGTCTTCAGTGGGTTTTTGTTTTTAAGCGAAAATATAAAAAGCAATGCTTGCCTGGTGCTTTTGAGATAAAAGTTGAGGTTATAAGATGATAAAACGAAAACTTAAATACAGCGGAGAACGGTTTTGTGGATATAAATGTGAAAATAAGAAGAAATTTGGAGATTTTGATTGCAGACGAGCAAATCTGTTTTGAACAGGTCCTCTCTGCTAGTTAGCATCCATCTGTTTACTGCGCATGTCTGAGGCCGGGAGGCATGATGGGATGGCTCTGGGTACGTCTAACTTCCTAAACAAGCCGAATAGTTTTGAGGGTTAAACTCGATATTATTTGTGTTGAGCTGAGTTGAGAACTGAAATCAAAGCACTCATGGCATTAACATAAGCTCATCGTCCTCATTTTTATCAGCAGCGAGAGTTCCAATCACGATGAGACCAGTATCAGTCTGACTGTGTGTCCGTCTTGCCTTTCCTCTTAGTGTCAACTGTCGGCCAGATAATCCTTGGTCACTCTCCTTTATCTTCACTCCACCCTCTTCTGACCTATTTGAATATCTGTTATCTCCATAATGAAGGCTGTCTAACGTTCAAGACAAGACGAATAATTATCAATCAGTCTATCAGTTGCGGTCTCCACAATGGAAACTATAACTTTTTCGACGAGACAGGGAATTAGCAAACATTGACCAATGCTACACTGTTTGGGTTATTGAAAATCAAACTACACTTGTTCCTAGACAATGAAACAAACAAAAACGAACTTACTAAACGTTTTTAAGAAGATGATACAAACAATTTACAGGTATTGTTTTGGCACTTTTCCGTCTCTCCATGCAGTTATATTGTGCTATGTTGAGTCATGGGAATCACAGGCGATGACGAGTGTGACTAGCAAGAACCACTGGAGTTTGGAAAAGTGTACCACAATAAGAGCATGTTATTTCAGGACCTTTCTTGTTATCGCGTGTAATTTGTATGCTTCCTCTCAGCTCTCAGGATCATTTTTTTCCAGTATTCTAATTCCCTTCCTGCTTTCCCCCATACGTGCAACACAATTCATAGCATTATGTTTATACCCTGCTTGAATACATCTTTATATTGTAGCAGCGGCCAACCTCTACATCTTCAACCCATTTGTAATATACCATAGATGGCGTCCTTAAAGTCTCTACAATCCCCCATTCTCCAATTGTGACCACCCAACCATCTAAGTCTTCAGGGGCTGAGTCTGTTGTGATACTTACTCTGCTAATTTAATATATCAGTGTGATCTTGTCTTGTCACGTGAAGCCAAGTTATCTTATAAGGCATATGTTTATTCATGCGAAACAAACCACACAATAATGTTTTATAATGTAGTTCAATTATTGTGACCTTATTTTGAAAACTGTACTTGTTCACTTCACGCCATAAGATAGACACACTTGTTAAATACAGACACGACTATTGTGGGGTTAACCTGCTAACTGCTCTTGAGCATTACAGACCCCGACATGTAACCGGAGAATAGGCGTCTGGGTCATGACCTTTCATAAATCGTTCCTCATTCCTTCTCTCCTCCTCCTCCTCCCCCTTCTTCTTCTTCTCCTCCTCCTCTTCCTCCTCCTTCTTCTTCTGCTGTTTCCGAAAAGGTTTTTGTTTGCTCATTTGAGAAAATATTAAACTAAAAAAAATATATATATATATATATTTAATGATACCACCCGTTCCTGTCATTTCTTAAAAAGTGATAGGATATGCCTAACCAGGATTATTTTTTTCCCTAGAAAAAGTGCCGGTACTCACTACAAATTGTTTAAAAGGGTGCCGGCACTTGTCACAAAGTTTTTTTTTAAAGGTGCTGGGCCTCACCACAGTTACAGTAGTGCCACAAATTGATGCAAAAAAGGTGCCAGTGCTACGAACCGTTGCCTACCGTGAAATACAAAACCCTGGTCTAATGTCTTAAACAAAACTTTAAAAAAAAAAAAAAAAAAACAGAGGTCGGTTTGTACCTTCTGAGCTTTAGAAAACGCACCGTAGTTGAAAATCGCGTTGAACCGAACGTTGATAAAACCTGATAACAATATAACTAGCTTGTCTTAACAGCAGAACCCACAGTGGCATACACAAAAAGGCAGACAGACAGAAAAACACGAAGAACGTAGAGTAAAATTGAAATAATGGATAGAATACCGGATGAGCTGCAGGCGATAGCAAAGGATGGGACGACTTGGTTTGAGTTGGTTGAGGACCTATGCTTCACTGTAGGATTCGGGCAGAAGAAGTTAAAAGTTGAAAGTTGTAAAGTGCAGGCTGCGGGACCACTGCCCTACAATACTGACATCAAAATATACCCATCGGGAGATATAGTCCCTTACACTAAATGGAATCTTTCCTAGTAAGAAATAAATAAATTCACCGGCTCCCACCTTTTGATTCGCACTCTAGTCTCACTTTTATATAAGCTCTGTTTCCCAACTTGGAAAAAAGAAAACAAAAATGTGAAACTTAGTCCTTTTTTAGCCGCCTGAAGGCCTGCTTTATCAAGGACGGTGAAAATATGGGGGTGACTGCAGTCAAGCTAATACAATGAATTCCAGAGAAATTTGACTTAAAAGCTCAACAAAATGGGAAAAAGGAAAACGTGCACAAAACAACACAACGTAACGTTTCGGCCAGGCAGCCTTTTTCAAACACAAGTGGACTACACAAAAGAGGAATGGAGAGTATGTAGATCTCTAAGGGGTGACGTGAGCGACGTTTAAAAAATGTGATGCGGAATAAATGAAATAAAATAAAATAAACGATGGCTAAAAAATATAGTCACAATACTGGGAATAAAAGAAATGCAAGTGTTAATGATACATAAATGATATTGATAAGAAATAGAATATGGTAATAATATGAAATAAAATAAAATAATTAACATTTAAAATGTAATAAGATTAGAACTATTTAGATGAAGGTATGTTGGATATTGATACCTCTTGGACTAAGAACGCCAAGGCTGTGGATAAGGCGATTTTCCAAAGCGAGGCGGGTAGTATGATCGCCAGAGCAAGATTTTAATGCTGTGACAGATATGTCATCTTTACCGCTGTGGTCAGGGCTATTAAAATGAAGAGGGATTGGTTTGAGTGTCTTCTTGTCGATATCAGAGAGGTGTTCCCGGAAACGATCAGCTAGCTTCCTGCCAGTCTCCCCAATGTATGCCATGCTGCATCGTTTGCAGATAATTGCATAAATTACGTTGCGGGATTCGCAAGTAAAAGGTTCCCTAATTTGAAAAGAACCATTAGGGAAACTGACCGAAGAAGTCTGGACAACGAATTTCTCTGGAATTTATCAAGGACGGTTTCTTTGCTGTCTGAGTTTAGTTTGTTTCTTTGTGGCGATCATTTTCGCCTGAGTTTGATTTCTTGCTGCTACAATATGTCTGCTCGTCAGGCTTGGTGGGCGAAGTCCGGCTTTTTGGGAGTGATTCTGGCAGCCCTAAGAAGGGCTGCAGAAGGGCTGCCATTTTTACCTGTGGCGGCCTGGAACGGAAATGGGCGGGGTCTCATTGTGGCTGTCTGCTATAGGTCTAGCGATAGTTTGGTGTGCTGTCCGTGAAGATGGCGCCGTATTCATTGGGCTCTCTTTAGTTGCTTTTAGAACTGGCGATAACCTCTTCTGTTGGGCGTGCTCTGTTTTCCTGTCACATTTTGTGTTGTTATTTAGCAATCCGATGATAAAGACTTCGGTCTAAACGTTTAAGTATATTTGTATATGTCTTGTCTATTTTATCTGTTGAGCTTTCTAGACGCATTTAGTATTGTATTTACCACATTTTTATATGACCCATTTTTTGGTAAAAATAATAGGTTCACTGCTTCCCTAGCAACAAAGGGACAAATTAGGGCTGCTTTCCTGCATTCAAATAAGCGAGGTCTATAAAACGGATGTGCACACAACATTTAATTTATGGATCAAGGCCAAAGCCCAGAAGAGGAGGAGCAACCAGAAAATTCCACCAAAGTTTACAGCCGGTGACGTGAAGAAGAAGAATATATAGATCAATAGACACTAATTGGGTATTGTGCTTTGGATCACGCATTCAACTTTTCATCCCTAGAACACACCTGGTGCCAATTTTAAACTGGGTAGAAATGAGAACTTATGTCCATTTTCTTTTAAATGCGTCGCAACGGGGATTCAAACGCTGACGCTCTGAGCAGTGATTTGTTTCCATCAAGGTTTGCTGATACAGTTTCCCCCATTTCTGGACCAAGAGTCCAGAGGCTCCATCGCCCAGCTACTGAAATAAGTGCTTAGTGTGACACTGTGCGTTGTGGATTTAATGTAGAATATATTTCCCTGTTGTGCCCGCGGCGTGTTACTGTTGCACTAAAATGGTTAAGTTTAGAATGACGTGCACTTTTAGGCTGCAGTGCCTGCTTTCCTAAATAAATGTTTGCACCAACAATGAGCTGCAGTTCTAGTGTGGTACAGTAAGTACTTGCACATCTGACAGTTGCTTTATACATTTTCACTTTGCGTGTGTAAGCTTTCAGATTTTGCTGGGATTAATATGTTTTTCACTCATTCTCAGATGGGACAGAGCAGAACATTTTGTATGATTTCCACTGGCACAGGAAGGGAACAGTTATGGGGCGACGCGTTTGCTGTGATGTTAGAGCCCCAGCTAACGACCAGTGATAGCAACGTGGGCACGCCACTGCACCAGAGCAAACTTTGTCTAGAGGAAGCAACCTTTATGCTAGAGTCGGACAAAATGACTTCTGAGTGATATAATCGGATGCCATAGGCACAGGAACTAGAGGGACTGAACGTTCTGAGGCCCCATCCTCAATTTTGTTGGAGTAGCTCCCCACCCCCCCCCCCCACAAACCCCCATAATAACACTTAAGGGGTCTGAGCCTCAGACTTCTGGCAAATTTGCAAGCGGGCTAAGTGGACCCACAAATCATGTTTAGACATTCTCTGTTTGAATATCTTATATCTAATATTTTATTTTATCAGGTATTCAGTACATAATAATCTTCATCTTCTTTTCTCTATTCCCGGAATGCCTCGAGGCGTCAGAGCATGACGATTTTCAGTGTCTCTGATATTTCTAAAAAGTACTTTAAACTAAGCGAACAGAAGGGCCCGTTCCAGCGATATCTTTCTGTACTGACGCCTCGAGGTATTCCAGGAGGAATTAGCAATAATAACAACAATTATTATTATTGTTATTATTGCTGAGCACTGAGGCCATGCTTATGCCTCCACGAGCTCCGCGCGTCAAGACAATGATACCAAACAGGTTGAGGACTCCCTACCCCATGTATTTCCCACTGGCGGCGCCCCTGTTGTATGCCAGTGATCCACCACGCCCCCTTTTCTTGGAAAGAGAAATGAGGCCCAGCCAACAGAACGGAATCATCTTGATGGCTAGTCGAGCAATTAACCACGGCCTTCTCTATTTATGCATACAAAAGGACCTGAATTAACCAACCGTCCATCAACTCGCAGCAGTTTCTGGCCCAGTATAAATAAACGTGTCGCCATCTGCGACCTGTCTTCACTGTACACACGATACATAATCATTATGTCACAATGTCGACTGCTGGCAAGACACGGAAACACGGACCAGCTGTTTGGCACATCCCTAGTTGTTTATATGCCTTGATTATCTTGTGTTTGTGTGTGCGGTTGAACTTGGCAGGTAGGTGATTTTACCACGGACACAAATATATCTCTGTTCTTGTAGGTGGTAGTCGTGGTTCCCCGTCCGTGTGATTAATACCTTAGGTGAAGGATGAGAATGATCAGACAGTAACTAATCCCAGAAATCTGCTTCAGCCATAGCCTATAACACAGGTATTGTATATTAGGGCAGTTTTATGATAACAAATCAACCCCCAGTCCGGAAAAAGGTGGGGGTGGGGGTAATAATAATAATAATATCGTAAGTATATTTGTTCATTTATTTATAATCCTGTTGTACCAATATATGTCACAACGTGTTCCCAGTCCATGCTCCCATTCTGTTCCACAATTATCCTGTGCAATGAGTTCAATCAAATCGATGGAATCCAGCCCAGCAGCTGTAGCCTCTCTCATCCATGTTTGTCCTAGTGGGGGATGCTAGTGAAGCTTTTGTGTTTAGTTCTGAAACCATGATAACTAGATATTGAACTAGTCAATCTAATGACATATCATTGAAGCCTGTAAGTCAATTCTGAACAAAAATATTAACATTTTAATGGTGGAATCCACCATAGACAAATTATAGTTATTCTGACAAAAGATGGAATTCTGGGCTGTGTTTCAATAATTTGCAGGGTGGAGATGACCATATGTTTGCATTTTATGACAATAACTTTGTTGTTTGTGTAACAAATGCATTAGCAACTGTATATCATTGCAATGGGGACTGTGGGATCTAACTGTATATGCATTTCTTAAATATGTGTCATGCAATATGGGCCTAATTAACATACACAAAACGGCTGCCAGCTCCCTTATTTTTAAGTAAACATCATATAAATGTATGGTTATCTGCCCACAAGCCTGGCAAGATGTATACCGTATTGGGCAGGGTGATGAGGCGGACATAAGGATCATACAGAAATGTCAATATTAATCGACATTATCTAATCAACATACAAAATGGCTGCCAGCTCACTTGTTTTAAGTAGACACTTTTGAGTTAATGATTGCAACAGGATACAAGTTTTTTTCAATCCACTTTATTGCAATTGGTTTTACCCTGTATGGCTCGATTTTGCACAGTGGGTAGCCACTTGTCAAGAATAATGCACAGAGCACAACCTCCATAGCTCCAGTAACAATTCCCAGGGATCCTATAACTTTCAGACCATTTGGCAACTGCAGATGGCATAACAAATTAGCTATTATTTATTCTATATATAAATATTCGGCTCTACTGGCAAATCCGGACGAAGAATAAACAGCCTTGGATGACTTAGTGAGAGTTCTCTCCCGTCGCCGCACTCCAAACAGTGATCGGAAAATCCACAACGAAACAAAGAAGACAGTCACGTCGACATCAGGGCTGCCAATGCTTGGTTGTTTCCCCCAGATCTGGGTTTTTTTTCGACACTGCAGGACAATTCTGGGTGTTTTTTTGTTTTTTTGGGTGTGTTCTGTTTGTTGGTGTTTGCCGATTTGTATGCTTTAATGATCGATAAATTTGCGTGGTTAGGGGGTAGGGGTTAGGGTTAGGGTTAGGGTTAGGGTTAGGGTTAGGGTTAGGATTAGGATTAGGGTTAGCGGTAGGGTTAGGATTAGCGTTAGATTTGACAATTTTGACGCCGGAGTTCCCTATAATCGCGCACAGTCCCATACACACAAACAAACAATCGAGGGCCTCTGGATGCTGGTCACACGCACAATTCGCCAACGATTGGGGGCACCAGCCACACGCTATTAGCGTCATATTTGGCAGAGTTTAAGTGGCGCCACACCCACAAACATCATATTGTCGGCCAGTATTTCGAAATCCTACGTCAAAATTTTCACATCTAACCCTAACCCTACCCCTAACCCTACCCCTAAACCTACCCCTAACCCTAACCCTAACCCTAACCCTAACCCTAACCCTACCCCTAACCCTAACCCTACCCCTAACCCTAACCCTACCCCTAACTTTAATCCAACAACCGCATGATGATGACTACACAACCATTCACAATGCCTCACGCAACCGTACGCAACTGTGCACGCAACCATATGATGATGCCACGATGTCTCACGCAACCGTACGCAGCCCTACACGCAACCGCAGGATGATAGGTAAGTTTGTCGTTTGTTTCGTTTGTTTTCCGATTACTGTTCGGAGTGCGGCGACGGGAGATAACTCTGACTAAGTCGTCCAAGTCTGTTTATTCTTCGTCCAGATTTGCCAGTAGAGCCAAATATTCAATTACTTATAGTAATTAGAATTTACTTGCTGTATAAATGTGGTGTATTAAAAATTTGATATAAATTATCACCACTAATGTATACATTTAAGGATTATCTGCTGTTTGTGGGTGAGTGTGTATTATTTTTATGTTGTTCATTTACCAGTAGTAAAGAATTTGTTTGTATTGATTTGAGTTTATATATCTTGAAAAAGAAACTCTGGATTGTCATTTGTTGAAGGCAGAGTGGGATAAGTGATGTCAGTCTATTGATAAAGGAAGAATGTGATAAGTGATGTCAGTGATAAGTGATGTCAGTGATAAGTGATGTCAGTGATAAGTGATGTCAGTGATAAGTGATGTCAGTGATAAGTGATGTCAGTGATAAGTGATGTAAGTCTATTGTTAAAATATCTCTGTACCAAGAGCAGGTTCGCACCACACAGTCACGATGGCTAAAGATTCAAAAAACATAACTCATGTCATAGTTGTACTTTAGTATATATAGAAACTTATTTATTAAATATATAGGGGAAATAATCGGAGACTGTGGGTGCCCTGGTAAATATGTCTTAAAAAGATAGTAATGTCAACTTAAAATAACAACTGCATAAAATAAAAATGCCGTAAGGGTTGCAGATTTAAAATAGAAATCACATTTAACTAGCATTTTAGTAAGCATTGTAATTTTAAGGGTTTTTATGGAGGTGGAGGTGGTCACTGCAGTTCTCCGGTGGCTAGAGAACAAGATACATACACATGTCATAAATGTAACAAACTCTAAAAGCATGCTAAAAAGGGTAAAGACAGGATTGCTTCGAGCAGAGTGGCAAGCTTCACTTTCAAGGTGACGGGTAGTGAGCATATTTTGGATCTTTTGTCCAAGCTATGCTGGCGTGGTGGGGAATGAACAGGCAAATAGCTTGGCTGGATCTGCACCTGTGGGTGGTGAACCAAGTAATGAAATCAGAAGAGAAACTTGATTATTATGGGCTGGAGAGAAGGATGCACCTGGGTGTAACCAGATGGTCCGGCCAGTACACTACACTCAGAGGAAAGGCAAGATGCACAAACGAATGAACACACTTTATTTTCAAAGGGTTACAAATCGGACACGCAGGCCCGTCTGACATTCGGCCCTTCTAAGCACTCATCTTTCAGAGTACCCGTGCCTGTTATCAGTAATGCATGTTATGTATATAATAAAGAAATATACATTATAGAATAATGCATACACACATCATGTGTACACAATCTTACACACTGAAACACACTTACACCTACTGTTACATTTTCATGCATACACATGCATATATAGACATACGTATTACATACATACACGCACCTACATACATACACAAACATAAAACATACACACATACATACATAGACATACATGCACACACACACATTCCATACATACACACCTACACATGTACATACAACCAGACTATGACCGGCACAATTAGTATCGGAACTCTGTGCTGGCTGCTGAGGATGGAGACAGAGCACATATGGAAATGATTTGAGTGCTGTTATGTCAGTTTTTGACTCAACTCAGCTGGTTTTTATGGAGTTTATAGCTGGTGAACATGAAGAAGAAGAAGATATAGACCCGTGGACATTCATTGGGTGATATGCTCAGGTTCACACATTCGACTTTGAATTCCTTGAAAACTCCTGGTGCCAGTTTTAGGCTGGGTAGAGTTGAGAAACCAGGTCAGTTTTTAAAAATACCCTGTAGCAAGGATTCAGATGTCTGGAGTTGTTCTCCAGCTTTCACGTGCATATGTTAAACCTGAAATAACATCACAACTAAAAATACGTAACTTGGTTCTTAAATTTTGTGGTTGTCAAACCATCAGTTGTCAACCCTGAGGGGGGAGATTAATTCAGTCAGATTTGATGTATAGTTATATTCAAAAATGCTCTTAGATCAGGAGAAACTAAAGCTGTACCTGTCTAAGATTGAAAGGATTGAAGCAGTTTTACACAACTCTTTCAGTCCCGACCAGTGCATTATGTGTGATCAGCTATTGCCATTGTGACCAAGTAATCAACAATGTGATTTGATGTTTAGCCTGAGAATACTACAAAAACCTGGCTGATTGTTTTAATGTCCCAACTATGACAATCATGTTATCACATTTTATATTCACTTTGACTATTTCTACTCTTGGAAATCTCCTGTGAACTCTTGTCTTCAAGACTTAATTGTCCTTAGTTGCCGCTGGTAGCAAACACAGGAAGTTATCCCCCAGTGGAGGTTATGCCCTCTCAGCCAGTTCACGCCAGGTTGTTCTATCTTTTGCTGTCATCTGCAGTTCTCCCCATGTCCTCCCTATTTTTGTCACCTCAATCTTTATTGCAAAATCATTTTATTGTTACAGTCTGTTTAGGGATACAGTCCAACTGTATTAGCCCCCCCCCCACCTCCCCTATAATTTCATAGGGTCGGGGAGGGGCTGAAGCCTTGTTTAATTGCACATAACAATAATAAAAGTAGCAGTAATAATAATAATAACAACATTTACTATTATGTGTATTAATGTGCAGTTAATGAAGGCTTAAACCCATTGTGGCTGTTAGAGAAAACTTCAGGGATGTAAGGTGGGGGGGGGGGGGTTGGGAGGGCTGCCCCCTAAAAAGTATTGGTGGTGGGGGTGGGGGCTGAGCCTACATCTCTACCCAAAAATATTTGAAGAGAAGGGATCCCAAGGTGCCTGAGCCTCAAGGTTCCTAGACCAATGTTCCAAGTTTATTTTTTTTCTTCTTTTCATTCGTTCGAGTAGCGGTAGTGCGTTATGCCTGATCTAGTTAACTTCCCATTTGCAAGTATATTACTGTATTTATTTGTCACACAACACATGATTATTTTTAAAATGCTGAATGCTGAATAAATATAATAGTGTACTTGAAGAAGTCTGAAATGTATCAACACACATTTGTAAAGATAATTTCTATAAAGGTTAAATAAAGCTAAGCCTCTAAATTCCCTTACAGTATTACTAAAGAGGCTCAGTCTCCCTTGGGGTGGGGTGGGGGGGGGGGTGTGAAAGAAAAAAAGAAAGAATAATAGTTAGTATTTGTTTGTTTACAGAATCTTACCCACTAGTTTATATTTGTCATATTAGCATATCATGTTAGATTCAGTTGATCTTGATAGTTGGTTTATGTTTGTATCTTGTTTAACCTGCAGTTGAGAAAAGGGCTGATGAATCAAAGAGGCAAGAAAAACCAGAGAGTGTGAAAGATGAAGTGTCAGAGATTCAACAGAAGGGGAAGACAAGGATTCATTTAGAGAAAGTTTACAGTCAACACAAGACGAGCGGATCACGCTTGGTAATAGGTAAGGCTTCTGGTTAATAAGTTCATAATAAACAGTATTATTGTTCTGTCTGTCAGTTTGATCAACATTCTTAAATTGCCTCTTGTGACATGCGTGTAGTTTATAGCATTCTCCAAGAGCACAAACAATATGTATCCACTATGAAATTCACAGCTCACAGTGTTGCACTTTACTCTGTAGCTGGCTGGACCAGATTTCATCTTGACCTCGTTTGTTGTCCCATCCAGGGCTACTGAAGTTGATACTTTTATACAAATATTGTATTATTTGACCCTTGCCGAGCAGAACTGTACTTTTGGTACCATAAATAAGTTTTGGTACTTTTAGAAATTTTGCACTAATAGTTTAAATGTTTGCATTGTAGACTGGATCCAGTTAGTGTTCAAGAAGGAAGACCAAGGTCAACTACGGCATTGTTCATATAATTACACAGCCTTGTTAAAGAAGAACATAAAAAATAAAGAATGGAGGAAACTCACAGCGACTAAATATGCTGACAAATAACCAGAACAGTTTTGGTTTACATTCACAGAATACAAATGTGGAGATGAAAATCGTTTTTCATTACTATCAGAATATGTGCTTAGTTTTCTGGCATTACCTCATTTCTCTATAGCTGCAGAAAGGGTTTTCTCTCTGCTTAACAGTATTAAGATTTTTTTGTTTTAATCACTTTTCTTTGGAGACTTTAAAAATAAAGGAATTGATGAGACCAAATTATTGCTTCAGAACATTAACTGCAGCATCTGGAAGCTGCCACAACAGCTTTTTAACAAACTGAGTGAAAAACAAATGGTACAGTAATGATGTCATGGACAAAGATTTTCAGTTCTGATCAAATATAATGTAAGCCAGATATATATATATATTTGTGTGTGGGTGGGTGAGTGCATGTGTATGTCTTTTTTCTTTTTTTTTTTGGAAATATGCTTGAATGGTTGTTTAATTAAATTAGAAAATTTAGTAACTATGTGTGTGATTTGGTACCTTTTCCCACACACAAAAATTTGTACTATTCCCAAAAATATTTAAGCAAACATGGTTCCCTTCTAGTTTCTTGCGAGGAGCTGAAAACCCAGACATGGTCATATGATAAGTACCGATTAATGTGTGTGCACATGCACACATGTTCGTGTGTGTGTGTGTGTGCATGAGAGAGGGAGTCTGAAAAACCCACAGAGAGAGATCTACAGGGTTGAAGAGTATATCATAAATATGAAATTACTCTATTGTTAAATAAATCAAAATGCTTAGTTTAAAAAAAATGCATAGTTATCTGATGATGTGTTTTCACTGGTTCATGGGAAAACCTGTTCGCCTAACAACTACCAACCACTCAAATGCACATGAACTGTCAATTGATTGGTTGAGCCCTAAGGTATTCTTGTATATAACTCTCTCAGTAATTACACAGATTTTTAATGTTGAAGTGATGACAAAATTATATACTGTTAGCTTTTGTTAGCTATTAATTTCTTTTTGGTGAATATTATACTACCGTGTGGACTGAAAAATGTAATGAATATTTTTGTCTGTGCAGATGCAGCAATCCAAGAAACTCTCAGAGAACTTGTCAGGATCTATGAGTCGGCGGTGAAGCCACTGGAGACAATCTACAGATATTCTGATCTCAACAAAGATGCATCACTAGGTTCGTCTGATTCATTCTTTCTGTTTGTGAGAGCTTGATAGTTTAGAATCTTCCTTTTCTTATTTCCTTTGGTGTCTCTTTGATCCCAGGTTGTAGCCCAGTGTTAAGGTTTTCTGTATTTGTCTTGTGCTTCTCAGGTGGCTTGTGTGATGGATTTGTGAATCTTTTTGCAGGTTTCAGCTACACCATTTATCCATATCTTTCTTGGTCTTCCTCTCGCTTTAATCCCAGATGTCAACTCTTGCCAGGCTTTCTGTCTTCACTGGTTCATGAGTGGTTGACTTTTGCAGCTCAAGTTTTCATTGGGATGAGAAAGCCATGTCTGACACAATCATGATGAGAAAGCCATGTCTGACACAGTCATGATGAGATAGTCATGTCAGACACAATCATGATGAGATGGTCATGTCAGACACAATCATGATGAGATGGTCATGTCAGACACAATCATGATGAGATAGCCATGTCAGACACAATCATGATGAGATAGCCATGTCAGACACAGTATTGGTGAGATAGCCATGTCCCACAATCATGATGAGATAGCCATGTCAGACACAATCATGATGAGATAGTCATGTCACACAATCATGATGAGATAGTCATGTCACACAATCATGATGAGATAGCCATGTCAGACATGATCATGATGAGATAGCCATGTCAGACATGATCATGATGAGATAACCATGTCAGACACAATCATGATAAGATAGCCATGTCACACAATCATGATGAGATAGCCATGTCACACAATCATGATAAGATAGCCATGTCAGACACAATCAGGATGAGATAACCATGTCAGACACAATCATGATGAGATAGCCATGTCAGACACAATCATGATGAGATAACCATGTCAGACACAATCATGATGAGATAGCCATGTCAGACACAATCATGATGAGATAACCATGTCAGACACAATCGTGATAAGATAACCATGTCAGACACAATCATGATGAGATAACCATGTCAGACACAATCATGATGAGATAGCCATGTCAGACACAATCATGATGAGATAACCATGTCAGACACAATCATGATGAGATAACCATGTCAGACACAATCATGATGAGATAACCATGTCAGACACAATCATGATGAGATAGCCATGTCAGACACAATCATGATGAGATAGCCATGTCACACAATCATGATGAGATAACCATGTCAGACAAAGTCATGATGGGATAACCATGTCAGACACAATCATGATGAGATAACCATGTCAGACACAAGCATGATGAGATAGCCATGTCAGACACAATCATGATGAGATAGTCATGTCAGACATAATCATGATGAGATAGCCATGTCAGACATAATCATGATGAGATAACCATGTCAGACATAATCATGATGAGATAGTCATGTCAGACATAATCATGATGAGATAGCCATGTCAGACATAATCATGATGAGATAGCCATGTCAGACAAAGTCATGATGGGATAACCATGTCAGACACAATCATGATGAGATAACCATGTCAGACACAATCATGATGGAATAACCATGTCAGACACAATCATGATGAGATAGCCATGTCAGACATGATCATGATGAGATAGCCATATCAGACACAATCATGATGAGATGGCCATGTCAGACACAATCATGATGAGATAACCATGTGAGACACAATCATGATGAGATAGCCATGTCACACAATCATGATGAGATAGCCATGTCAGACACAATCATGATGAGATAGCCATGTCAGACACAATCATGATGAGATGACAATGTCAGACACAATCATGATGAGATAACCATGTCAGACACAATCATGATGAGATAACCATGTCAGACACAATCATGATGAGATAACAATGCCAGACACAATCATGATGAGATAACCATGTCAGACACAATCATGATGAGATAACCATGTCAGACACAATCATGATGAGATAACCATGTCAGACACAATCATGATGAGATAGCCATGTCAGACACAATCATGATGAGATAACAATGCCAGACACAATCATGATGAGATAACCATGTCAGACACAATCATGATGAGATAACCATGTCGGACACAATCATGATGAGATAACCATGTCAGACACAATCATGATGAGATAGCCATGTCAGACACAATCATGATGAGATGGCCATGTCAGACACAATCATGATGAGATAGCCATGTCAGACACAATCATGATGAGATGGCCATGTCACACAATCATGGAAGTCTCAGATCAGGTCAGTGTTTTAGTCTCTTGTAGATGCCATATAGTCAGCCCATAGGTACATGCATTTTTCACTTTGTGTTCCTGAAATTCACTCCCCCCCCCCCCCCCCCCCCCCCCCCCCCCCCTTTTCACTTTTCACTCCCCATGAAGTTTGCCAGTTTACATATGTAAACATTGTGTTTTACTCAGAGGCAGAAATTCTGGCCAAACCATTGATTCTGTTAGTGGGACCATGGAGCACAGGGAAAACATCAATCATCAATTACTTGCTGAACATCGAAGATGGCAAGGAAAAACTGCACACAGGTAGCTGGGTTATCTTTGTTTTAATCATGTTTTAATGTTAATATAAATCTTATGTCCCATAATGTCTGCCGGGAGACTTACTGGCTATGTATCTTTTGTTATGGCTGAATGTCTGTCTGATTATCTGTTCAGTCTATTTGGTTTCCATTCTGGCTGTCATTGATTGTCTATGTGATTGGCAATCTGTTTGTCTGTCTTTCTGGTGGCTGTCTGTCTGTCTGTCATTTGTAACATTTGTATTCCAAGCTTCTGCTATGTATAAATAGTGTTATATCCACTTTCTTCTGTGGTACATCCTTGGTTTGCCAACTGCTGCAGGTAGGCACAAGGGGCTGCAGGTGAAGTCATATCTCAGGGTAGCTGCAGACACAGACCACCCTCTGCATGAAGCTCTGGGTGCAGTTAAGGGTCAGCAGCTGATAAGAGGGAGGTCATGGATGTCTTAGGCAGAAGACACAATCAGACAGGTTTGCATCCTTGAGAACATTAGGTGAGGAGAGGAGTGGGTCAAAGTGCCACCTGAACAGTTAGACTTGTGTAGAGTCATAATCACGCTGAGCCGGGAATGCAGAGACTGGCCAGCAGGTGCCACAGAGGTGGATATTTAGCAATTAATTCAAGAAAATGCTCGCTCAGAGGATTTGATCATTTACACAGACGGTTCAGTGTCAAGAGGCAAAATAAGTGCTTGGGGCTTCTTAGCAAAAGTTAATGGTCGACGTTTGGTGCAGCAGTCTAGCACAGTCTGGTGAGATTGATGCAGTTGGGGGTGACGAGAGGTTCTGGCAGATGCTCGAGGCTCAGAGGAAAGGCAAGACGGGCGTTTAATCAGAATGCTACTGGCACCATAAGTATTGGAGCTCTTCGCTGGCTGCTGAAGATGGGGACGGAGCGCTTATGGGAATGCCCCGAGTGCTGTGATGTCGGTTCTTGAATCAAATCAAATCAAATTCACTTTCTACTATTATATGTCTGTAAACGTCAGACAATTTATCACAAACATCAGAAACAGATGGTCATCATTTTGGGGTCACATTAAAAGAAGAAAGCAACTGGGCCATGTTGTGACCACAGGAAAGATCTGTGGAAAAAGAGACAGAGGATGACAGTTGGTGAGGCACTTGATACCTAATACCACCAACATATTACATCCACCAATGAGGAATGTAAAACAAATAAATGGAGAATCAACACTCACAAGACAGAATAGAGTACAGAGCCATTAAACAGGCATCTGAGTTTAAATATCTGGGAAGGAATAACATTCCTCAAAGATGGGAAATTGGATGAAGAAATTAGCATCCAATGCAGTAAAGCAAACAAAATATTGGGTCAAATACCCCGACCCCATTTTTTTTTACAGTATAAAGTGACTCCAATCAGCACAAAGAAACATCTCACACAAAGCAAATTCATTCCCTCTCTATGCTACCAGTGCCTGACATGGTTATACACAACAAACCAGAAAAGAACATTAGTAACTACTGCAAATTAAGATATCTGAGAAAGGCATTAGGAGAGACCAGAAGAGACTTCCAGTGTGGGTTCCAGGGCCCGGCTGCGAGGAAAACAAAAATTGAGCTACTGCTTCCCCAACAAACATGTCATTGGAGTCAACTAATTTGGGAGCTTCCTTCAAAGAAGGATTGAATCTGCCTGAGTGGCAAGAACAACCAACTGCACACAAATAAGCCAGTAAAATGGATGTACAGGCAAAACTCAGGCCCTGGCACAAAGTCAAAGTCCAAGTGGATGAACAACCAGGACTTTCCGCTGAAGCATTCAGCTGGTGAACAAAGAACAAGAGATAATATCAGGAATATGGTCATAAAAGATAAATTCAGCACAGAAATAATACACAGTTACATACAAGCACAACAAATTAAATGGTTTGCCCACTTAGATAGAATACATACACACCATAGAAGACACACACCAAAAGAGGAGGAAGACGTAGAGCACACTGGGTGAGGCCAGTACTAGAGATGAATGGTTTAGCTTTGCTTTTATGGGATCCTCCTCGGATGATGGGGAAAGTTTTTGTTCTAGCTCTAGCCTTCTTTTGAGGGCTGGCCATCATTCTCTGCCTGCTCGGCTATAGCCTGATGGGTTTACTGGAAAGGGGCACCAGCCATAGATGACAGGATGATGACACAACAGTGTTCCACAAACCTAACCGGGACAGCTAACCTAGGCAATAAATGCCAGAATAAATTGTACGCATCAGCCAAAAGGCAGAAATATCCCCAGCTGTGCTGTATAAGGCACAACATAATTCTTCGGATTAATGCAGAAAAAAGAAGAACCAGGTTTTTATCTCTGATGTATGTAAATAATCATAAGTCCCATTCTGGTGAATATTTTGGATGTCCTTTGTTTGTCCAAGATGAGTATCTTGGGGGACTGAAAAGGTTTGGGCTTATGTTTGTCCATGATGAGTATCTTGGTGGACTGAAAGGCTTTGGCCTTATGTTTGTCCAAGATGAGTATCTTGGGGGACTGAAAGGGTTTGGGCTTATGTTTGTCCATGATGAGTATCTTGGGGGACTGAAAGGCTTTGGAATTATGTTTGTCCAAGATGAGTAATTTGGGGGACTGAAAGGGTTTGGGCTTATGTTTGTCTAAGATGAGTATCTTGGGGGACTGAAAGGGTTTGGGCTTATGTTTGTCTAAGATGAGTATCTTGGGGGACTGAAAGGGTTTGGGCTTATGTTTGTCTAAGATGAGTATCTTGGGGGACTGAAAGGCTTTGACCTTATGTTTGTCCAAGATGACTATCTTGGGGGACTGAAAGGCTTTGACCTTATGTTTGTCCAAGATGAGTATCTTGGGGGACTGAAAGGGTTTGGGCTTATGTTTGTCCATGATGAGTATCTTGGGGGACTGAAAGGCTTTGGCCTTATGTTTGTCCAAGATGAGTATCTTAGGGCACTGAAAGGCCTAGGCCTTATGTTTGTCCATGATGAGTATCTTGGGGGACTGAAAGGCCTAGGCCTTATGTTTGTCCGTGATGAGTATCTTGGGGGACTGAAAGGCCTAGGCCTTATGTTTGTCCAAGATGAGTATCTTGGGGGACTGAAAGGGTTTGGCCTTATGTTTGTCCATGATGAGTATCTTGGGGGACTGAAAGGTCTAGGCCTTATGTTTGTCCATGATGAGTATCTTAGGGGACTGAAAGGCTTCAGCCTTATCAAGCATTGGTTTGAAAAGATGGTAGTGGAGGGTGTGGTACTTGGTAAGAGGGGCAGTGGTCAACTAACACAAAAGCACTCCAGGACATAAGAGAGACCTTGGGTAGGAAAGTGCACAAGTTGGGAGAACTGGAGAGGGGCTGACCTTCTTTCAGACAGGCTGTGATGGGAGCGGCATTATGAGTTGAGTACAGGATGATGATGAGGTATGTCATGCTTTGAAATAACTTTAGTTTTTCTCTTTGACAATAAGAGCAAAGCCACCAAGACATTTTTTTAAAACATTCTGCTATAATTGCGGAGAAATAAAAATGATAGTTTATTTGATATTCTACCACAGGAGCAGAACCAACAACAACCGATTTTGTGGTGCTACAAAATGGAACCAAATACCGCACGATGGCTGGCATGCAACTGGTCAGTGACAAAAGCAAACCATTTGCTATTCTGGAACGATATGGTCAGGTAGGTAGTATCCCCACCTGTAAATGTATTAGACATTTTGAACATTTTTCTTATAGGTTATTTCTACTGCAGGTTTCTATATAGTGGTTTGTCCTATTACAGATTTTCATAAAGGTGTTTCTAGTGCACGTTTATATATACAATATTTCTAGTGAAAGTTTTCATACAGAGAATGTTTCTATTGAAAGTTTTCAGGCAGAGAATGTTTCTATTGAAAGTTTTCAGGCAGAGAACGTTTCTATTGAAAGTTTTCATACAGAGAATGTTTCCAGTTAAAGTTTTCATACAGAGAATATTTCTAGTGCAGGTTTTCATATTGAGAATGTTTCTAGTGAAGGTTTTCATATAGAGAATGTTTCTAGTGCAGGTTTTCCTACAGAGAAAGTTTCTAGTTAAGGTTTTCATATGGAAAATGTTTCTAGTGCAGGTTTTCATACAGAGAATGTTTCTAGTGCAGGTTTTTATACAGAATATTTTTAGTGCAGATTTTCAAATAAAGAGTGTTTCTAGAGCAGGTTTTCATATATAAAGAATGTTTCTAGTGCAGGTTTTCATACAGAGAATGTTTCTAGTGCAGGTTTTCATACAGAGAATGTTTTTAGTTAAGGTTTTCATACAGAGAATATTTCTAGTTAAGGTTTTCATATAGAAAATATTTCTAGTTAAGGTTTTCATATTGAGAATATTTCTAGTTAAGGTTTTCATATTGAGAATGTTTCTAGTGCAGGTTTTCATACAGAGAATGTTTCTAGTTAAGGTTTTCATATTGAGAATGTTTCTAGTGCAGGTTTTCATACAGAGAATGTTTCTAGTTAAGGTTTTCATATTGAGAATGTTTCTAGTGCAGGTTTTTATACAGAGAATGTTTCTAGTGCAGGTTTTTATACAGAGAATGTTTCTAGTGCAGTTTTTCATACAGAGAATATTTCTAGTTAAGGTTTTCATATAGAGAATGTTTCTAGTGCAGGTTTCCATTTAGAGAATGTTTCTACAGAAAATTTCCATATATAGAATTTTTCTGTTACTCATCAGTGTAGTTTGAGGGCTCCACTTAAAAGGGTGGGGGGGGGGGGGGAGGGGGGATGTGCGTGCGTGACAGATCCAACATGGAGGTTGTAAAAGATGACTAATTATGAGTTTATGTTTATTTGACGGATCAAGGTTGTTTCTGTTGCAGGTTTTCATACAGAGGTTGTTTCTGTTGCAGGTTTTTATACAGAGGTTGTTTCTGTTGCAGGTTTTCATACAGAGGTTGTTTCTGTTGCAAGTTTTCATACAGAGGTTGTTTCTGTTGCAGGTTTTCATACAGAGGTTGTTTCTGTTGCAGGTTTTCATACAGAAGTTGTTTCTACTGGGGAATTTCATATGAAGATTGTTTCTATTGCAGGTTTTCATTCAAAGGTTGCAGAGTATAGAGCTGAAATCTCCATTGCTGCAGCTGTTTACTATAGTAGATACCCCTGGAATCATTGAGACAAAGAAACAGCAAGAAAGAGGCTATCCATTTTATGATGTCCTGCAGTGGTTCCTACAGAGGGCCAGTTTGATATTCCTTGTATACGACCCAACCAAGTTGGATGCTGGGCTAGATACTGTATTTAAACAGGTATGTATTGTTTCAGTTTTACTGTCTGTAAATTCTGGCAGAAATTTCTGGTTTATTGTCCACTTCTGGACTTGATCCAGAGCTTGAGTTCAGTTTTACAGATCTGGCTTATTTGTGCGCAGAATGTTGGTTTCTTGCCTCTGATATGGATGCGCTCTGCATGAAATTGGAACATTTATCTTAATTTCTTGAAAGCTTTAAAAGAGAAGAAACAGACTTTCTGTAACAAGAAAACATGCACATGATGTTTGGTCACAGCTGATTCAGTTCACTCAATTATTGAATAATTATTGTTCTTTTTTAACAGAACCCTAACAGAAAAGATAGCCATGGAGGAGTGAATTTGAGAAAAGCGGCAAAGAGACTTCTATCTGGTTCTAGAATCTGAGTTTTGCATGCACATCCATTTTACAGATCTGGTTTATTTGTATGCAGACTGTTGGTTCGTTCTCACCTCTCCAGCAGATGCACTCTGACCACAGAAGTAACTCTCCTAATTAATCGTCATTATTAGTATGTCCTTCTAATATCAGTGTTGGTGCGGGTGACTTGGGAGTTGTGAACGAGCATAAGTTCGCCAGTTCACTTCCAGCTGCAGGTGACTTGGCAGCTAATCGCATTGTGTTCATTCTGACTGTGGTATTAAGCACCGACCATACAGAAAGCAATGGCAAATTATTGTGTGTAAAATTGCCTGGTAAAACCAAATGGCCAAAATGTGTTGAAGTTTTTCTGGTATGGCATGTATAGGATATGCAACTAACTTTAAAAAAAAAACAATTATTGTAATTATTATTATGTCTACTGCCGATAAATAAAGAAATGTGTACGTTTCAACAGCTCAAAGGTCATGAAGCAAAAGTGAAGATACTCATCAACAAGGCAGACACGGTGAGCCAAAAGGAACTGATGCGGGTCTACGGGGCACTCTTCTGGAACCTGGCACCCCTCATTCAATCTGTTGAGCCTCCAAGGGTTTATATAGGATCATTCTGGTCTAAATCTAAGAGTGATCACCCCTTGGCTCAGTTGTTTCTAGAAGAAGAAGAGATGCTAATGCATGATCTATATAACGTTGCTGAGAACTTGGTCGAGGACAAGATAGCAAGCATTCGCAGACATGCTTTCATGGTACGTCTGCATGCTCTGACTGTTGACAGCTTCCTGCAAGCATTCGAGAAAAATAGAGGTTGGTTTTCTGATCCGGAAGCTGTGTGTAGCGAAACTGTGCACCACCCACAGAAATACAATGTCTTTCAAAAACTTATGCAACAGGCAGATATTAGCAAACATGATCTACCTAGTGCTGAAACTTACATTAATTTTTTTTCAAATAATCGCAGGGAAATCTTTCCCAATTTACAATGCGGTTTTTTTGGTGGCTGTTACATAGAGAAAATAACTCAGGCAATCAGTAATGATCTGCCTCTACTGCTGAAAACTTTAAAAGAGCAGAAACAGAGGCAAACTTACTGTACCAAGGAAACATGCTGATGATGTTCTACTGGCGGTAACAGTTTCATTTGTTCGCTCACACATTGCATACTTATTTATTTACTGGAATTACAATGGAGAAGATAATGGAAAGAGGTATTCTTGGGAAGTGGAAAAAAGACCACAACATGGATGCATTCATGATATGAGATGATCTGCAGATGAAAGCAATAGAGGCAGGGACATTTGGCTTATGGCAGAACACAATTTGAAAGTGTTTTGGAGGTGTTGGTACTGGTTGATCAATAAAACAATTTTGTCTTCTTATTCTGGAGTCGCCCTTAAAAGGGTGGTTGGCATATTGGGTCTATTATTTTTTTCTCCATATTTGTCCGGAAACTCACTTGTTGAAAAAAAACACAATAATTATTTAAATTTGTGTGAGCTGCCTCAACAATGGATATTGGCTACATTAAATAGGTGCATACACCGGCATCTTTGGGAATTGTTATCTTAAAAGTGATAGAAACAAAGCTTTACTTGCCATAGAAGCGACACAAAAATAGTATGTGAATGTTTCAACTGAAGTCTTTATCAGTGAAAAAAATACCAAACTCAAAACAAAAAAAATTCTTTCATAACAGTAAAAAAAACAGATTGACAAAAATGGGAAGGAGAAACACGTGTACAGGTTTTTGTCAGTGACTAGTTCAGTGGTTCAGTTAGCGAAGACTGCCAGACATTTTTGTTATTTTCAGAGTTCTGCTTCTGACCCCATATTTTTAAATAGTCACACTGAAGAGCTTATCATCACATTTGTTATGTGGATAATCACTGGTCTATTATATGAATAGTCAAATAGCAAAAATAACAAAGCAAATCCGATTGGACAGTTATGATTACTGCAGATGAGCAACTTGAAGAATAATTTTATGTCTTTTTTTTAGTTTTAAATGTCAGCTGTTCATAATATAAACAGATATATATATATATATATGTGTGTGTGTGTGTGTGTTTTTTTTAAACTGCTGAACATATTACTTTACGATGTAATTTGTCAAACTTGCATCATATTTTACTTTTAACTAAGATGTTTATGTTTGATACTGTTATAATTTAATTGATTCAAAGCTGTATTGATTTTTAAATTCAACTTATACAAAGTTGAATTCTATATTTTTTAGACAGATATAATTGTTGGTAATATTTGCAGCCTGCGTGTCTTAGACGTGTGCATTATTATATTTACCATGTGTGCCAACATTTTACCAGCACATATTGATCAGTTACCCTGTTCTTACTCACGATTGTTGTTTTCCTTAATACAGTATGTGATCTTTCTTAGTCACAGCTCAGTGGATTCATTTCTTAGGGTTTTTCCTTTGAAATCAGAGTGCATCAGCCAGAGAGGTGAGAACCAACAGTCTGCATAACGCAAAACTCATGTTCTGGAATAAGGCTAAAGTCCAGAAGTGGATGAACACCAACACTTTTTGCCAGAGTTTACAGCTGATAAATGGTAAGAAGAAAAAGAAGGGGCTACATTAAACATTCGTCCAAATAAGAACTGTCTTTGATTGAAAGAGTGTATAACTCAAGCACATATGTCCATGCTTCAGGGCGAGTTTGTTCCAAGTTTTCATAACTCCATCTCCCCATGTGGTACCAAGGTCCATCTCCCCATGTGGTACCAAGGTCCATCTCCCCATGTGGTACCAAGGTCCATCTCCCCATGTTGTACCAAGCTCCATCTTCCCATGTGGTACCAAGCTCCATCTCCCCATGTGGTACCAAGCTCCATCTCCCCATGTGGTACCAAGGTCCATCTCCCCATGTGGTACCAAGCTCCATCTCCCCATGTGGTACCAAGCTCCATCTCCCCATGTGGTACCAAGCTCCATCTCCCCATGTGGTACCAAGCTCCATCTCCCCATGTGGTACCAAGCTCCATCGCCCCATGTGGTACCAAGGTCCATCTCCCCATGTGGTACCAAGGTCCATCTCCCCATGTGGTACCAAGGTCCATCTCCCCATGTAGTACCAAGGTCCATCTCCCCATTTGGTACCAAGCTCCATCTCTCCATGTGGTACCAAGGTCCATCTCCCCATGTGGTACCAAGCTCCATCTCCCCATGTGGTACCAAGGTCCATCTCCCCATGTAGTACCAAGCTCCATCTCCCCATGTGCTACTAAGCTCCATCTCCACATGTGGTACCAAGCTCCATCTCACTATGTGGTACCAAGCTCCATCTTCCCATGTAGTACCAAGGTTCATCTCCCCATTTAGTACCAAGGTCCATCTCCCCATGTGGTACCAAGCTCTATCTCCCCATGTGGTACCAAGGTCCATCTCCCCATGTGGTACCAGGTCCATCTCTCCATGTGGTACCAAGGTCCATCTCCCTATGTGGTACCAAGGTCCATCTCCCCATGCGGTACCAAGGTCCATCTTCCCATGTTGTACCAAGCTCCATCTCCCCATGTTGTACCAAGCTCCATCTCCCCATGTGGTACCAAGGTCCATCTCCCCATGTGGTACCAAGGTCCATCTCCCCATGTGGTACCAAGGTCCATCTCCCCATGTGGTACCAAGCTCCATCTCCCCATGTGGTACCAAGGTCCATCTCCCCATGTAGTACCAAGGTTCATCTCCCCATGTGGTACCAAGCTCCATCTCCCCATGTGGTACCAAGCTCCATCTCCCCATGTGGTACCAGGCTCCATCTCCCCATGTGGTACCAAGCTCCATCGCCCCATGTGGTACCAAGGTCCATCTCCCCATGTGGTACCAAGGTCCATCTCCCCATGTGGTACCAAGGTCCATCTCCCCATGTAGTACCAAGGTCCATCTCCCCATTTGGTACCAAGCTCCATCTCTCCATGTGGTACCAAGGTCCATCTCCCCATGTGGTACCAAGCTCCATCTCCCCATGTGGTACCAAGGTCCATCTCCCCATGTAGTACCAAGCTCCATCTCCCCATGTGCTACTAAGCTCCATCTCCACATGTGGTACCAAGCTCCATCTCACTATGTGGTACCAAGCTCCATCTTCCCATGTAGTACCAAGGTTCATCTCCCCATTTAGTACCAAGGTCCATCTCCCCATGTGGTACCAAGCTCTATCTCCCCATGTGGTACCAAGGTCCATCTCCCCATGTGGTACCAAGGTCCATCTCTCCATGTGGTACCAAGGTCCATCTCCCTATGTGGTACCAAGGTCCATCTCCCCATGCGGTACCAAGGTCCATCTTCCCATGTTGTACCAAGCTCCATCTCCCCATGTTGTACCAAGCTCCATCTCCCCATGTGGTACCAAGGTCCATCTCCCCATGTGGTACCAAGGTCCATCTCCCCATGTGGTACCAAGGTCCATCTCCCCATGTGGTACCAAGGTCCATCTCCCCATGTGGTACCAAGCTCCATCTCCCCATGTGGTACCAAGGTCCATCTCCCCATGTAGTACCAAGGTTCATCTCCTCATGTGGTACCAAGGTCCATCTCCCCATGTAGTACCAAGGTCCATCTTCCCATGTAGTACCAAGCTCCATCTCCCCATGTAGTACCAAGCTCCATCTCCCCATGTGGTACCAAGCTCCATCTCCCCATGTGGTACCAAGGTCCATCTCCCCATGTGGTACCAAGCTCCATCTCCCCATGTGGTACCAAGGTCCATCTCTCCATGTGGTACTAAGCTCCATCTCCCATGTGGTACCAAGGTCCATCTCTCCATGTGGTACCAAGGTCCATCTCCCCATGTGGTACCAAGCTCCATCTCCCCATGTAGTACCAAGGTTCATCTCCCCATTTAGTACCAAGGTCCATCTCCCCATGTGGTACCAAGCTCCATCTCCCCACATGGTACCAAGGTCCATCTCCCCATGTGGTACCAAGCTCCATCTCTCCATGTGGTACCAAGGTCCATCTCCCCATCTGGTACCAAGGTCCATCTCCCCATGTGGTACCAAGGTCCATCTCTCCATGTGGTACCAAGGTCCATCTCCCCATGTGGTACCAAGCTCCATCTCTCCATGTAGTACCAAGGTCCATCTCCCCATGTGGTACCAAGGTCCATCTCCCCATGTGGTACCAAGCTCCATCTCCCCATGTGGTACCAAGCTCCATCTCCCCATGTGGTACCAAGCTCCATCTCCCCATGTGGTACCAAGGTCCATCTTTCCATGTAATACCAAGGTCCATCTCCCCATGTAGTACCAAGATCCATCTCCCCATGTAGTACCAAGGTCCATCTCCCCATGTAGTACCAAGGTCCATCTCCCCATGTAGTACCAAGGTCCATCTCCCCATGTGGTACCAAGGTCCATCTCCCCATGTGGTACCAAGGTCCATCTCCCCATGTAGTACCAAGGTCCATCTCTCCATGTAGTACCAAGGTCCATCTCCCCATGTGGTACCAAGCTCCATCTCCCCATGTGGTACCAAGGTCTATCTCCCCATGTGGTACCAAGGTCCATCTCCCCATGTGGTACCAAGGTCCATCTCTCGATGTAGTACCAAGGTCCATCTCTCCATGTAGTACCAAGCTCCATCTCCCATATGGTACCAAGGTCCATCTCTCCATGTAGTACCAAGGTCCATCTCCCCATGTAGTACCAAGGTCCATCTCCCCATGTAGTAGCAAGGTCCATCTCCCCATGTAGTACCAAGGTCCATCTCCCCATGTGCTACCAAGCTCCATCTCCCCATGTAGTACCAAGGTCCATCTCCCCATGTGCTACCAAGCTCCATCTCCCCATGTGCTACCAAGCTCCATCTCCCCATGTAGTACCAAGGTCCATCTCCCCATGTAGTACCAAGGTCCATCTCCCCATGTAGTACCAAGGTCAATCTCTCCATGTGGTACCAAGCTCCATCTACCCATGTGGTACCAAGGTCCATCTCCCCATGTGCTACCAAGCTCCATCTCTCCATGTGGTACCAAGCTCCATCTCCCCATGTAGTACCAAGGTTCATCTCCCCATTTAGTACCAAGGTCCATCTCCCCATGTGGTACCAAGCTCCATCTCCCCATGTGGTACCAAGGTCCATCTCCCCATGTGG